GTAAGGTAGAATTGGTGGAGATTCTTGAAAATTACCCCTTGGAGTTCAGTCAAAAAATTTTATAAGGTCCTTCTTCTTCTTCGAAAAAAAAAAAAAAAGAAAAAAAGAAGAAAAGAAAAAAAAAAGAGATAAATATATATGCTTCTATATATATATATATTAAATAAAAAAAAAAAAAGAAAAAAAAAAAGAAGAAGAAGAGACTAGAAGGGAGAAATAAGGACTAGTTGGTGAATTATTTTTGAAAACTCGACCCCTTGCCTCAAAAGAAAAAGTGGAGACCTTTGAACTTTTGAGAATCGAGTTTACTAAAGTCCGTAGAAGTGAACTCATTGTTTCAAACGCCTATCTTTCAAATTTTGGCGTAATCACCTAAATTCAAGAAGAATAGCCACACATACCCATATTTCCTACCTCGAACCAAAGAGCCTAACAATTGAAAGCCACAAAGCCCCAATGATCCCAATAGCTTAATGTTCGATATTAGTAGAGTAGAATAATTTGGTGAATATTTGGAGTCAAGCATATGCATGTAAGTATAAATTCTTTCTATCTTTAATTTGCAAATATTGGATGCTTGAAGCAATTGTATGAATTGTGGTTTTTGGTAATGGTGAGTGACTAAGTGTTGTTGAATTTTGAGCTTGCGAATGCCTAAGAATTGTCATTATAATTGCAAGTTCTGAAAACGTGAAGTTGATCATTGATCTATGTGATGAGATGTTATCGTTGAGTTATTTGCTTGTTGGTAGATTTTGCTTGAGGACAAGCAAAAGTTCAAGTTTGGGGGTGTGTTAAGTGTATATTTTTACACTTTATCATATCTTTTTATTTGAGCTTTTGGTGTGTTTTAACGATAATTGGTGCTTAAAAAGTTGATTTATTGTATTTTAGGTACAAATTGAAGAATTGGAAAAGTATGGGGTCAAAACTGCAATTTTGGCGAAAATATGGGTCAAAAGTGAAAATATCAAAATTCTGAAGATTTAAAGCTAAGACCCCCGTCCCAGTTTTAGTGCAAATTGTGAGACCCCCGTCCGAGACTCCGAAATTGCGCAGTAAAGGAATTTTAATTGCACAAGGAAACTGCCTTCTACCCCAAATTCTTCACCCTATATAAGACCAAGCCAAACACACAATTGGGGATCAATCTTTTTACGCAAATTCAAGAGCAACGAAGATCAACGAAGATTCAAGCATAGTTTTTCTTATTTAATTTATTTATTTTATTTTATTTATCATAATAATTACGAGTAGCTAAGTCTTTATTTCTAGGATTTTATTTGGAACCCTATGTGGGATTTATGAACCCAATTCTATGATTTTATGCAAGTTTTAATTCCGGATTATTTCTTCTACTTGTTTTATTAAGTTCATGAAACTGGCCACTTTATGCGCTTTTATGTTATTGTTAATCGCATGAATCGGAAGATCGGGTTAATAATTAGAACTGTGGTAGAAGAGCCTTTGTGGTATTAACATATGAATATAGTTAATCTCTTAGGTAGCCATTATTGAGATTTGTGCTTAATGCTGTGTTCTAGAATTAATTGCATAGGAATATAGTAATTGAATCTAGAGTATTAGAATCGTAATAAACGCGGAAGCGGGTTATGATTAAATTAGCATCTCAGGTTAATAATCCGGATTAATTGCTTGTATAATTGAAGGAATTGGGGGAATAATAATCACATAGGGGGAAGAATAAAATCCTAGGCTTGTCTACTTTGATTAATCTTCGTTTTTAAATTGCTTTCGTGTTCTTGTCTTTTTAATTTTCTTTTTAATTTATTTTAATTTAGTTAATTCTCTCTAAATTCGACTGTGTAGGGTGGGCTTGATAATAATTGGTAGAATTTAGCGTCTAGGATTAGATAATTAAATATTCCCTGTGGGTTCGATATCCGGACTTAATTGTCCACTATATTACTTGTACGATACGTGCACTTGCGTGTAGGTTTTCGCCCAACATTTGGGCTTACTGTTTATAGCCTCTAAATTGGCTCTTGACGGGTTTTACCACGTAACTCTACGAGCTTTAGGCTCGGAGTTATTTTCAGATATTTGGCCTTTAAATCGCCTTTTGACGGATATTACCACGTCTTGACTCAACGAGCTTCAAGCTCGGAGTTATATTTATGATTTATCTAAATCAGCTTTCTTGTCTCAACGAGTTTAGACTCGGAGTTATATTAACGATTTAGCCTATAAATCGGCTTTCTTGTCTCAACGAGTTTAGGCTCAGACCTATATTTTATTTACATGCAAATATAAATTCCAGCAGCAATTTAGCTAGTATATGAGCTATATATGTATATAGACGAATCCATCATATCCTTTGAGAAATGATAGCGTATAAAATACCGAAGTATTCGCTCATCATTCTCGTTTGTCTTTTCGACAATAGTATTGATGATCTGGATTTTCATAAAATAAAATAAAAAGGAAAATACGAAAATAGCAAATCCTTATCGAGCAAAATCTCGTGTTATAGAATAATTATTATGTTAACCTATAAGATAATATATGGATATATAGAATATAATGCTATATATACTATGAGTATGCAAAAGTAAAATATCAATGCAGAATATAAACGTAAATGAGAGAGTGTGTTTTGCTAATGAAAGCTGTGAGAAAATTAATGTATCTATTCACATTACTAGAGGGGCTATTCGGTCATACAAGAAATTATACATGCATTGTAATGCATTATTACATGGAGAGAAGGACACTCATCACCAATTGAATTTGTCATGCTTTAGTCCAATTCTTAGTCAGTAAGTAATGAGAATGCTATGCTAAGTCCACATAGGCTGTCTTATCTTCATAATAAAATATAGTTTTTCTTGTGTTTGAATAAGAGATACGACAAGAGAAAAGTAGTTTGTTGGTGCCCACTTTGCACCTAAAATCTATTCTAGACGGCATTTGCGAAAGTTTATTCAAAAACAAAAATTAGTGAATGAGAGTATTAAATGTTTATTTCTATAAGTTGAGGGTGAAAAATTAAGTTAAATAAAAAAGGCAAGTTTATGAGTAGTTTTAAAAAATAACTTAAAACAACTTATTTTTAAGAGAAGTAAAAGTAAAAATTGATTTTACAAACACTTAAAAACAGATTATGGGCTAAAAAAACTATTTTTAAAAGCTATTTTTAAAAAACTATTTTTAAAAACTATTTTTAAAAAACTATTTTTAAAATTGCTCGGGAATCAAATAACACTTCCGATTTCAAAAGTCCGATAAAAATCAAAATTGGAACAATTTTTGAAATTTGAACTTAAAATAAAAAATAAAAAATTTAATTAATATAGTTTTGCGTCAAGTAAATAAATATTATTTCTAGGTTTATTTTAGGAAGAGAGAAAAAAATTCTATTTATTTTATGGGATAATTAGTAAGAACCCCCTCATCTAGGAAAATGAGTTAAGGAAACACCCCCTTCAAAAAATAATTGGAGAAAACCCCCTTAGCTAATATCTCACCCAAATGTTATTTTAATAATTCACAAACCACCCTTATTAATATTAAATCTCATTTTCACGTTTCAAAACACTAACCCATTTCATTTGCATTTCTTTCTTCTCATTTTCTCATTTTCTCATCTTCTCTCTTCTCTCTTCTCTTCTCGACTGAAATTCGGAGGAAAAGCAAAACGTCGACCGGCGGTGGTGGTGGTGGAAGAGTGTTTGTCGCCACCTCCCGCCGCCGTGTGAAGGGTGGTTTACTGCATTAGTTTTTGGCCTGTTCCTCTTAGGCTTTTGATATTGTTTATTAAATCGACACAGTTAACATAATTGTTAATTGTTTACTGCTGCGGTAATTAACTAACAAGCTTCAACAGATCGATCATTTTCTCCGGTTGGTAGATGACTGTAAGTTGGAGGCTCTATATCATAAAACAGGAGCATACGATGCTGTCAACGTTTATGGATCAAAATAAGACGATGAAGATGCATTAAACTCCTAAGGGTGGTGACGGATCTGTAGTTGGCAGCGGTGGTTTCCACCGAGACGTTGAAGCTGATGACTGGTGCTCGTCGTCGAGGACGCAGTGGGTTGTCAATACCTTGAATCGTTTCTGTTTTTTTTTTTTTTTTTTGACATTGAAATGCTAATTTGTGTTTTTTTGTATGAATTATTTATTTTATTCTTGTTAGAGATTGGTTGTGGCGGCGGTGTGGTGACGATGGGGAGGCAGATTTAGGGTTTTTTGGTGGATCGGGCGGAGGAAGGCGCGTGTAGAGAAATTCGCGCAGGCTGGAATCTTAATCGACTATGTACATGTTCAATAGTCGATTAAGGTAATCGACTATGCTCTGGTAGTCGATTAAGGTTGATCAACTCCGTTTTTTTTTTTTTTTTTTTTTTTGGATTTTTTGTTTATTGATTCCAATTGTATAAATCAATTATAATGTTGGTATATTTTTTGTTTTTGAAAAATGTAGTTGATTTTGCATTTTTTTTGCAGTTGTGATTTGTTATTTTTATTAGCAGATTCTTAATCGACTATGCTTTGGTAGTCGATTAAGGTTGATCTACACCAATTTTTTTTTTTTTTTTTGGATTTTTTGTTTATTGATTCCAATTGTATAAATCAATTATAATGTTCTTATATTTTTTGTTTTTGTAAAATATAGTTGATTTTGCATTTTTTTTCAGTTTTGATTTGATATTTCATCATAAGAAAAAAAAAAAAAAATCGCTGATGACCAGCGCGTGACGTGGTGATGATGTGGCGGATGGGGACAAAACTGGAAAAATTAATAGCTGGAAATAGATGTGGGCTTTTCTCAAATGGAGAGAAATATTTTGGACCTCTCTCCATTAAAAGAAGTATCGAGGGGGTTTCCTCAAAGAGTCCCTTATTTTATATATTTTTCCAACTCCAATAAAAAAAATTGGAAAACTAAAAACCGGAACAACAATTATTGTTCCAAATTAAAGTTGGATTATTTCAGATCATAACTAGCGAAAATTGGAAATTCCGCTCCAACTTTCACCCCTCAGTTCATGCATATATTATTTGAAATATTAAAAATTTGTTACTCTTTCATAGTTTCATTGTAACAATAATAATTTATTAATGACAATATTATACAGATACAATATGATAATACATATGTTACAGTGATCAAAATAATTACTTGGAAAGATTGGACTTAATTTCATCAACAACAGTTTTATTCACCTGAAAAGCTTTCATCAAAACCTCATCAGGAACAACATTAACACCATTATTACCCGAAGGTTTCGAAGCGAAGAGACTCTTCGAGATCTGTACCGTACCGGGAAAATGGCTATTAAACGCAGTAAAAACGAGCACGTTTCCCCGGCCAACGTTCATCTGAAAATGCACCAAACCCCTCGGAATAACGAAAACCTGGCCGGCACTCAAATTCTTGGAATAAACGACGTTGTTCGCACTCGTAATAAGGCCGACAAGCATTTTTCCCTTAACCACGACCCCGCACTCGGTAGCCCTAGGGTGGGTGTGGGGGTGGGTGACCCCTCCAACGGCTATATCGAGTCGGTTCATCGACATGCCGAGCGTGTTGAGGCCTGGAAACGCCAACACGTGTCCATGCGTGACGAAGCTCTTCATGGGGCTGTTTGTTGTGTTTCCTTCTTTGCTTAGACCATCGAAGAAGAAATCGTCTGAGGTCACGTTTACGGTGGGCTTGCATGGGTAGCCGTTGATCGACGGCGGGGATTTTAGATCGGCGATGCAGAAGTCTTGTAGCGGATCGGGATCGGATGAATGTGAAGGCTTAATAATTGGCAGCAAAATTATCAAGAATATTATGCATTGGATTTGGATATTATTAGCCTTCATTTTTTCTGCTGCCTTGGTTTCTTTAGGTAAAGCAAATGAGAAAAATTTAATGCTTGAATGAAATAATTTCAAGAAAGCTGGTAGAGAATGTTATTTTATTAAGGGGTAAATTACGGCCACCTCCCCGAGCTAAGGTCAAATTACGAAAACCCCCTCATGTTTGGGTAATTACCTCTACCCCTCAATTATGAATCTTCTTACACGTCCACCCTTGTAGTGTCTAATTCAACATAATTTTCTAGATTCCGTGGAATGTTCTCTAGTTTGTACTCGTATTGTGCAAAAATCAGTTTTTGATGCACTGCAATCTAATATTTACAAGCCACGAGACACATCTTATGATCAACTAGTTTCAAAATGTGGAGCTCGAATGGGGTAAAACGGGTACAAACTGAAGAATATTCCACTAAATTTGACACCGCAAAGATGGACGTGTAAGAAGATTAATAATTGAGGGAATAATTGTAATTACCCAAAACATAAGGGGTATTTTGGTAATTTGACATTACCTCGTTGGGGCGATCGTAATTTACCTTATTATTTATTCTCCATAACTCAAGTTGACAATTAGTACTACATTAACTTGAAAAGGTTTAACTTAGGAAGGTGTGGTTCTTTATTATTATTATTATTATTTATTTTTATTTTTTTTGTGGGAAAAGTCTGATCAAATATGTAGGTGAAAGAAAATTCAGAGGCAGTATTTTCAAACGTTTGAATGATTTATGGGTAGCAAGTGAACATTTTTTGTTATTTTAATTTAGGATTTGTTGAAAACCTAATTTAGTAATTAATTATGACTGACAGAAAAAAATATATTCATGATTATCAAGTAGAGGTTGAAATTAAGAAAGCAATCAAGAAACTAATTAAATATGAAGAACCGAATGACTTTTTCAAGAACAAACCTAATTACACTGATAAACAATGTCCATCCAACGTCAGCCAAACATAAATTACAGTAATTTTTTAGATTTATGAACTAATTGTTTTAATGACTTTTATATATTTTATTACAAGAAGGATATTGTTTTTTTTTTTTTTTTTTTTTTTTTTGGTTGAGGATTTTGTTTTCTGATTCTTGAGCAAAATAAGAAGCTTGATGAGTTGAGCTAATTAAAACTGTTAAACGCTAACTCATGTACATGCCCAAGTCAACTTAAGAGTTCAGCCCCGAGTCAATCCTTTTGATTTTGACCGTCCAGATTACTTCGTTTAATCGTAGACGCCTATTCGCTCAGACTTAACCATCTCCTCTCAACATTGCTCTCAGTTTTTTAATGCAACACTTCTCTCTCCTCCTTTCCCCCTCTCTCTTTGAACAGTACTTACGTCATCAACTTGTTTTTTTTCGGCAACTGTTTATAGAACATGTTTTACATGGTTGACTTTGACTTGAGAGCAATTTTGTTGTCTCCTATCGTTACTTTTGTGCGTATTTATGTTGCCTTTAGAGAGATAGACAAATGTAATACTTATCTATACGCATCTCTCAGTTTTATGCTTTCAATCTCCTTCTGTAAGTGATTGAGTCTTTGAGTGAGAGGAAAACTGGGATTTACCGTGTAGAGTGTTTCTTTTAACTGGTTAACAGCGCATGTGTTGATGAGTCAATTCAATGTGATTATCGGGGTAGAACTAGGGTCTCAAGTTTAAGTGGTTGGCTTGGTGCTGGTCTCCGATTGAGGTCACAACCTTCTTGATTAAAACTTGTCCAAACTCAATTACAACGATAATAACCATATCAAGTATAAACACTAATTTTAAGTCAAAAACTCTGAGAAAAAAAAAAAAAAAAAAAAAAAAAAAAGTATGAAATAACTTGGATACAAACAACTCCCATTTAAGAAATCCCAGGCATACACTAGTTGTATTAAATTTTCCACCAAAACAAAGGTTTTACATATGTCAATTGATCATTTTTTTGTTACAACTCTTAAAATTCGAAAATAATATTCATCAACAAAATTCGATTACCGTGTGTAACTATCTATATAACTCCCGTCAAATAATCTCATTGGCCGCTGGAGTAATGGGAATGACACCGGAGGATAAAACGAGAGCATCGATGGGTACATCATTTGGAGTCATGGGTACAACACCATCTTCGAGTATTTGCGTCGAATACGAAAGAGCAACTACACATAGGAATCACAAAATAAATGCGTTGATGATATATATATTTTACATCATTTTCCAAGTGTATAAAATAAAATAATATTTATCAAACAAAAAAAAGAATGGAATAAATATACCGAATAAAGGTTTCTTCCATTTACGATCGTTGGCAAGTTCTTGATATTTTGCAAGGAATGTGTCGTAATAACTTCAATTGGTTTATTGCAGCATCCCAAAGACGAAGACAAATAACAATCATTATGTATTTTTGAAAAGAAAAAAAGAGGGAATATAAACGACTAACGAGCAATCGTAACGAACACTAAGAAAGAAAATATAATGCTCACAATTTATTATACATACATGCATACAAACACGGAAAGATATCATTAGGGAATATAGAGTAAAAGAAATTAAGTGCCTAATGTAAGTTGAAACATGTATCCGTCAATTCGTTCCCGAAAGATATCACTAATAAAATTGAGTCTTCATAGAGGAATTCAACGAGCAAAAAGAAAAAAACCCGAGTACCAACACTAGGGTGTTTGGCTAAGGTTATAAGTTGTTAAAAGGAGCTTATAAGATGTTTTAGAGCTTATAAGCTCTTCCAAAGTGTTTGGTAAATTTTTTTTAAAAGATCTTAATTGTTTTTTTAAATAAGCTGTTGGAGAGCAAATAAGATCTTTTTAAAAAAGTACTCCACCTTTTTTATTAAAATCTTATAATTAGTAAAAATATGAAATAAGCTCATTATCCAAACACTCGAAAAATTAATCCTAAAATAAGATGTAACAGCTTATCGGCTCTTAAAACATCTTATCAGACGTAAGAGCTTATCAGATGTTTAAAATAAACTTAGCCAAACACCATCTAAATATCAAGATATATACACTGGACTTGTATGCATCATTTTCACGAATCCAAACGAAACCGAAAACAAGAATCTGTTTACGTACCCTCCACCACGGCCCAATCGCCTACCGGATTTGTCAAATGCAAGCCCTGAAATAATAAACGAAGATATAACGCAACGCGACTGAAACGGGCTTTCAGTTCAATACGAGAAGTCGGGACATGGATAAAGGGAAGGTCTTACCGGGTAAAATGAACAAGTCAACGGGTTCGTTTGCAAACATAACTGCGAAAAAGATAATCAGGCTTAATTAGATTTCGGGTTTATTGCGAAAAAAAACGGGAAGCTTAAATACGAGAATTACCGTTTTCACGTTCGTTTCCGTCAGCATCGAAAGGGGAAGGTTCCAATATGTCCATCGAGTTTGCAATCAAATCGTCCATTCGAGAAATATTTAGCATCCGCATGTAACTGTTCTTGTCTTCTACCCTAGGCACGTATAGCTTCTTTCTCACCTGTGCATCGTCGTCTTATCGGACAAAGTGTAATCTCGTTACGGAATTTTTTTTTTCACTATTCGTTAAACGATACAATAGAATGGTATCGAAAATTTCAATACATTGTTTTCAACCCCAAAATCGATCTTCTGAAAATATTCTTGCCATTTTTTTTAAAGGTAGAACAGGCAATTGCTAAGAAATTTCCGAAAAACAAAATGTAATAAATTCAAGAAGCCATTCAGATAAATTCAACGTCGTCTTATTGAACGAAGTATAATCTCGTTACGGAATATTTTTTTCACTAATCGTTAAACGATACAAAAGAATGGTATCGACAATTTCAATACATTGTTTTCAACCCCAAAATCGATCTTCTGAAAATATTCTTACCATTTTTCTTTTAAGGTAGAACAGCTAATTGCTAAGAAATTTCCGAAAAACGAAATGTAATAAATTCGAGAAGCTATTCAGATCAATTCAACCTCAAACAACGATTCTCATTTCTAAATCAGATCTATTTGAAGATTCTACACACACACACACACACACACACACACACACACACACACACACAGTAAAAAGTAATACATTGTTTTCAACCCCAAAATCGATCTTCTGAAAATATTGGTACCATTTTTTTTTAAGGTAGAACAGCTAATTGCTAAGAAATTTCGGAAAAACGAAATGTAATAAATTCGAGAAGCAATTCAGATCATTTCAACCTCAAACAAAGATTCTCATATCTATTTGAAGATTCTACACACACACACACACACACACACACACACACAGAGAAAAGTACCTTGGCCTGAGTTATTCAAAATTGCTGAGAGAATTTTAGAAGTATCAACTTCTCTTAGGGCAGGGCAGCTAATATAAGCACACAATCTCTTACAGGATTTGAACCATGGTGAATCCAATACTATGTTCTGTATCGCTACATCTGAACAAACAAAAAAAAAACACGTGTTCAAATTCAAGGATTAATCTAAAAATCGATATAAAAAAAAGATGGGTGATTTGAAGGATTCAATTTGCCTTGTTGAGATCTGAGGTTGGGGTCCATTGATCTGAGTTGCTTCTTCACTTTGGCGCGGAGGGATTTTTTCTCCTTGAAAATGAGGTCCAGAGGGGTGACCGGAGTGTTGGTGGCGCTCATGGCGGCGGCGGCGGAGGAACGTAGATTGCGGCGGAGAGAGTGTGTGAAGCTGGGTAACGGTGGCGATGCGGCTGTTGGTGTAATGAAAGGAGGGGTCATCCGTACTGCCAATCTTTGTAGGAGACCCATTTTGGTCATTTCGCCCTTGGAAACATTACTATGTAATTATTTATTTTATTTTTATATGTGAAAATTGAAAAATAAAAATAAAAATAGGAAGTAATATGTGTTTGCATTTTAGAGGATAGTGAAATTAGGTTGTAATAATATTTGGACTAAGGAGTGAAAGAATCTGCAGCCAACGAGATATGTAAATTATACTATGGTGACTATGTGGACAAAGACAAGACAAACTCAACCTATCGATCGTCGGGATTTGAATCTGCGTCAATTGACGTACTAACCGCTTTTGATAATTGATAGTATTGATTTTAGTGTGGAATTCTTTTAATGCAACAGTCAAAATAGGCTCGAATTTATATTTCATTTTGGAATAGTAGAATTCACTATTCGGAGAATAATTTGAATTGTAAAACTAAGGGTGAAAATCGGAACGATCAAATTTTTAAATTCCGATAATTTTGATTCGATTTTTTGATTTTGAACAAGTTCTCCCAATACCGACTTTCTTTGGATCAAAATTGAAATACATATAAGATTTTGATTTTCAATACCATTTTAATTTTTAAAACCTCTATTTATTTTAATATTAAAGAAATTGAATTTTCGATTTCCCGCTGATTTCGTTCCGAAAAACTCCGATTTTGGAACAACCTTTCTCAATTCCAATTGCAATTCGTTTTTTATTTCCGATTTTTTTTAGTTTCGATCAGATTCGTTCGATTTCCACCGCTGCGTAAAACAACACAAGTCTTACTTCTCTTCATTTTCCAAATCAATGTGTGTGTGTGTATATATATATATATATATATATATATATATATATATATATATATATATATATATATATAGTAGTAATATGAAAGCAACAACAAACTTCTCAGAAGAAGAATTAGCAATTCTACAACTGCAAGAACTCAAGAAATCACTTGTCACATACAAAAAAAAAAGAAAAAAAGAAGTGTCTTAACTCTTACATTATCAGCAACAATCAGTTGCCACGTGTGAATTTTTTTTTTTTCCCATGTTCTATGAAAAAGAAAGAACAAGAAGAAAAAAAAATAATACAGAAGGATTACAATCTGTCCCTTGATCACTTGAAAAAGAAAACACATTCAAAACCCCTAATAAGAATAGTATTTTATCAAGGAATTTTTTTTTTAATCTTCCTATGGTATATGTACATCCTCGTACGGTAAGAGATGAATCGTAAACGACACTGCGAACACGAAAAAAAAACAACAATTGATTATAAATATTTATACAAGCAAACTAAATATGCCGCAAGTTTCGTAAAAAAATGTTATTATTATTACCACGCACGCCTCTTCATTCGGTGTCGTCCGAGTGTACGGAGGAGGGGCGAAGCTTACGTAAATGTTGAGCGATTTCCGACAATAGCTTAGTCCCTTCGCCTCCTTTTTGAAGTGTCATTGCAGCATGTTTTAAGAAGCCACTATCGGCTTCAATAGCCCTCAATCTCTCTCTAAACATCGATACTTCTCTCGTCAGAATCGCCTTATTTTCGTTCTCTATTTTAACTGCAAAAACGGCATATTCAACTTCAAGAAACAAAAAACATAAATAAAATCAAGCAATCTTAAAAGACATTTTCGTTTAACGGTTGCGCACACGTATGAAGAAACTCAACAAACGTGGCTTGATTTTAGGGAAGGGTAAAATCGGAAATTGTATAATTAATGCAGCATTGAAATTCTAAAGCTGAAGCAGAAGACAGATTATTACGGAACAAAGGGAGTATCGAATTACCTATGCCTTCATTTTCATTCTCCTCGACAACAAGAAACTCAGGAGGCGAATTGATCTTCTCCTCGAGGTTCCTCAAAAGCCCTAGAAGAAACGATCTCTCCCCGTCGAAATCCAGAGACGAAGATTCCTCCGGAACATTCGCTCGATCCTCGGGAGTATTCTCGCTCCGATCCGACCCGCCGCAGTCCGATCTCTCACTAACCAACGACAACGCCTGCGACCTCATATCCTGATAATCCTCGTCGGCGTCCATCTCGCAAACCTCGCTCCCGATTTTCTTGATGTGCCCGTACTTCTCTCTATAACTCTCGAGCTCCGATTCCAACGCCTTCACATCCTCCTCCCTCTTAAAAAGCAAGTCCTTCATCACTTGAAGCGCCTCTTGGTCGTACTCCGCTTGTTCGTCCATCATTCTCTGATACTGCAAAGCCTCCATTTGTACGGCCGCCTTTTCGGCCTGCAAACGAGTAATCATTGCCATTGCGTTATTCGCGGCGACCGCGGAAGCGCTTCTCTCTTCGTCCAATTCCATGTACAGAGCCATGAGGGACCTTCGGTCGAGGCGGACTTGTCTCCTTAGACGAGTCACGATATCGCCGTCCACCTCATCGGTTGCGGGGTCCGCACTGGCCAAGTCTAGTTTGTCGACCGTGATTTTCCTCGTGCCCCTGTGGGCCCACCTAGGGCTCGCCTGACCGGAATCGGACAACGAGATCCCGAAGAATCTGTTCCCCCTCGTGAAACAAGGTGTTCTTGTAGCGTCCTCGTTTATATCCTCGGCGTCCGGTAATAACGGGACCGCAGCAGCTTTCGCATCCTCTCTAATACCTGATTTATATATCATATCAAATTAAACTCAAACTATGAAAAACAAATGTTCATCATATCTTTTGTTTATTACATTTAGCAACCTTTTGTTTACTCTAATTGCTAAAAAAACTCTTAAGTACTATAATTATTAGCAAAAAATCCCTCTTATGATTCAATTTTATTAGCAAACTACCCAAATGAAGGCCACATTTAAGGGGCCTTGTGCTAAAACAAATACATCATAAGGGTTTTTTTGATAATATTTATAACACGATGAGTTTTTTAACAGTTCGGTATAACATGGGAGTATTGCATTTAACACCCCTGTGTTTACTCTAATTGTCAAAAAAACTCTGCGTGCTATATATATTAGAAAAATCCCCCCTACGATTCAATTTTTTTAGCAACCTACCCCTTAGAAACGCACCATTTACGGATTGTGGGCTAAACCGAAAAGTGTATCGTAAGAGTTTTGTTTCTTTCTTTTTTTTTGCTAATATTTATAACACGAGAATATTTTTTGGCAATTTATAGTTATTAAATGCAAATAACTTAAATTATAAGCATACATATATATAACTCTACCATTTGTAACATCTTCATCCTCGTGAAGCTCCGAATCGGTATCGGACATCAACTTGAGCTCGGTGTACCTAATATGTGGCAAATCCATGTTCCCGGTTTCCTCGTTCCGGCCCGGGAAATACGGGGCCCGTGGAGAAGGGGCGGGGGCGCTCATGGACAAACTCCTATTGAATTTCAAAGCCGATCTCGATTTCAAAGGCTCCCCGCAACAAGAACAACACATTAGCACCCGACTCCTCTCGTCGAGCGCAATGTCCATTTCGTCCTTTCTGAACGATTTCATGAGAAACTTCCTCTCCTCCTCCACGAAGCAATTCGCGTCCTTGTGGAGAATCCCGACGAGTGATTTGTACTTGTCGAAATCGGAGTCCTTTTCCGTGGCGAAAGAGAGGAGGCAGTTCTGGCACATGGTGCGGATATCGGAGAGCTTCTTGTGCACGTTGCAATACGCTAGGGACGAAATGTCCCGCTTGTGGGCCTCGCATATCGAATCGTTGTAGTAGAAATTGGAGTCCCGGTGGATTAGGATGTGATCTAACCTCGTACACAACAAACACGGGATTCTTAGTTCGAAGAAACGGGCTATTTCGTTGGAGACGAAAGCCAAGAAACCGTCGACGAAGAGTAGTATGATCACGAGCCATTCGAAGATTGCGTATATTAGGAAATGCGGGAATGTTCCGAGCTTTTCCTCCACGAAGGTCCGGAATGATTCTATCGGCATATCCATACCGAAAAATATAATCCCGAAAACGAAAAAAATAAAAGAAAAAAGAAAAAATCCAATTGGAAGATGAAAGATTGAGAGGGGGATTTCAAGTGTAGAGAAAATCAAGAATGTATTTGGGGATAGATCATGATCGTAGTGGGACCCAAGATCATGATCTCTCTCGATCTCTCTCGATCTCTCTCTCTCTCTATCTCTCTGTCTCTCTCTCACTTTGTTTTTTTTTTGTTTGTTTCTCTCTCTTGTTTATCTTTGTCTGAATATGGGAAAAGAGTGTCTGAAACAACAAAAAACAGATTGTTGGATTCAAAGGTTTGCCAAAAATTAGGAAGGTGGCATTTGTTTGGCTTATGTATGGTTCTTCACATTTTTTACCTGAATTAACGGTCTGCCACTTTCACAAACATATGAAAGGTGATGAAACGGCGCCGTTTCTTGATTGAAATTACCTAATTAACCTCCTCAATGATATATATATTTCAGGTAAATAAACACTAATATTTCTGGATTTATTGATGTCATTTATAAAAGGGTAAATTACAACCACCCTCCTTGAGGTATGGTTAAATTACGAAAATCCCATCATGTTTGGATAATTACACCTACTCCTCAACTATGAATCTTCTTATTTATGGTGTCAAATTCAACATAATCATTTAGATTCCGTGGAATGTGATCTAATTTAATTTGTACTCGTTTTGTGTAAAAATGCAGTTTCTGATGCACCACAATCTGATATATACAAGCAAAAAAACACATCGTATCATCTTGCTTCAAAATGTGGAGCTCGAATGGGATAAAACGGGTACAAAAGTGATAATATTTTATATAATCTAGAAGATTCCACTGAATTTGAAACCGCAAGGATGAACATGTAAAAGATTTATAGTTGATGGGTGGTTATAATTACCCAAATAGGAGGGGATTTTCGTAATTTAACCATACCTCAGGGGTGGTTGTAATTTATCCTTTATAAAATGTATTTTTCTTTATTAAATTATTTTAGTAATATCTAGTTTAAGTGATTATGTTTTATCACATTATACATTACATTAGTTACAAATAGCTATTCTAATCAAACAATTAAAATAATAATAATTATATAATAAAAGGCTAAAATATATATAACAAGTCATTGCGTGCGAGTAGGTAATTTTGCAGGTTTGAAACTTAGGTGTTCATCTCTATATAACATCGACTCCTACAAAAATCACCTACTCGCACGCAATCACTTACCTCGTGTCCTCATTTAATTTAACCCACGTGGATGATACCATATCAATGGCGAACTTGTAAAACACTAATTATTTACAATCCGACAATTTAGTTGTGAATATCAAATGTGAAACTCAAAAATTGATTGAAATTTGGAAATTAAACTTTTGAATATGTTAAGAAAATGTGGTAGTAAACTTCTGAAAATTCATTAAAAGTTAAAAAAAAAAAAAAATTTAGAAGTAATAATAAAATGCAGTAGTGATGATTGATGAATGTCTGCCGTGAAGCGGTGACTCGAATCGGCTGCTTAAATTTTCACCCAATATTCACTTAATTTTCTCGCATCTTAATTAGTAATTCACTTAATTTCACTTTGCACGGTCGAAATAAATTAATAGCACTTTATACCTTCAAAACACAATAAATTATGCATAATGCACTGCAAATAAATTTTGAAAGCTAATATATAAAAGTAATTTAATATTTTTATTAGTACTTTTTTAGGAAGTCAAATGTCAAATCAATATTTTTAATCCATCAATAATTTTGTAACTATAAAGTGTAAAAATAAAAATACATCTCATCAATATATTTAAAAATTATATTTTTTACCACAAAAAAAAATATTATCACGGGAAAAATATCCTTCAGCTATTTCGTCATCAAAATATCTAAAAATCATATTTTCTTGCAAATATCTCTACCACCAATTACAACTAAAAGATCCATTAATCGAATAATATAAAAAAATATTTCATTTTATTTTGTAAGAAACTATAGTTTTTTTTTTCTTCCAATAATCCAGTGTGCTTTTTATTTTTCCTCGAAATTAGGTTGGATGTTGCAGAAAGTAACAATTTAATTTGTTAGTTTTCACCTCGAAAAAAAAAACCAATAAAAAAGTAAAACTACCTTCATTATTCAATATACGGTGCATTTTGAATGATTCATTGTGTTTTGAGGTTTTGAGTGTTATTATTATTTTTGAAGGGTGTAAAGTGCAATCATTGTTTTTTTAAGGGTGTAAAGTGGGATTAAGAAATTTATGGCAATGTAACAGAAATCCAGAACACCTTCTTCCTCCCATCCCTCATCTCTCTCTCTCTCTTCTTTCTCTCTCACACACACAGACACACACAGAGAGAAATCTCTCGCAAAAATGTAACCCATGTAAAATTCTCAGCCCGCCCACTCTGGCTGGCTTCTTCTACACCCAATTCCCATACTCTCTCTCTCACACAAACACACACACAGAGAGAGAGATTGAATTCGTGTAAAATTGGATTTCTCCATCACCATGAACGAAAACAATACTCTCTCTTCTTCTTCTGCTGCTCCGTTTCAGAAGAAGGCTTTCCATTCGATACTAGCATCGCGGCTCACCCACCTCCAAATCCCTTCCTCCGCCGCCGCCGCCGAGGATCCCTCCCAAGATTTCGAATTCTCCGACTTCTTCGGCCCCTCCGCCGCCGCCTCCTCCTCCCCATCCTCCTCCTCCTCGCTCTTCCTGAGGGACCCACCAGTTATACACAATCGCTCCCATTCATTTGTGGGCCCCTCCCCTCGTGTAACCCTCTCCAGATCCCTCCCGCCCTTCGAGCCAGATGAGCTCTACTATTCTTCCTCCGACGACGCCGCTAATAGAGACTCGAACCACGAATCCGGTGAAAAGGGCGGCGGCGGAATTGCTTGTGGTGGCGGCGGAGATTCGATTGTTGAGGAGGTGAAGAAGGTGGGCCCGGGTGATTTTGAGATTATGAGGATGATTGGTAAGGGCGCGTTTGGGAAGGTGTTTCAGGTGAGGATGAAGGCCGAGAGTGGCGGCGGCGGTGGTGGTGGTGGTGGAGATGGCGATGGGATATTTGCGATGAAAGTGATGAGGAAGGATACGATAATCAAGAACAAGCATGTTGATTACATGAGGGCCGAGAGAGATATTCTCACTAAAGTGGTGCACCCTTTCATCGTGCAGCTCCGCTACTCGTTTCAGGTAACTCCCTCTCTCTCTCTCTCTCTCTCTCTCTCTCTCTCTCTCTCTCTCTCTCTCTCTCTCTCTCTCTCTCTCTCGATTAGTGTGTTTTGATTTTCTGCTTAGTTTGAATTATGGTATGGATGAGAGGCGAATTCGATCGTTTAGATGATGGATATGGTGTTTAGTAGTGTTAGCACTAGTGTTAGAAAATGAATAAAAAAAACGTAAAAGTCGCCATGTAGACTAGAAAAAGCAAGTAGACGTATCGAGAGACCGAGATAAACTTTTCTCGAGCTAATAGGAACTTACAAAGAAACGTCGACCATGGCAACAAGAATCCCCCTATTGAACCTCCCAAGAGTATTTAGGCAAATTTTGATTCTTTGACAAATTATGTTGCTAAAAGTGATTATTCGCCATCCGCCTTAACTATTCCACGATTTCCGTGCACAAAGATCGATTTTTTAAGCCATAGACGAGTGTGTTTTACAGCGTAGTTATTTAGTTGTGAGCATATAATATACTTGGGCCTCGTTTGGTTGGGGAGATTAGCAACGATTAACTAAATAATAGGACTTTCTTTGATGTTTGGTATCCCCAATAACTTTCCGGGTCGACCCGCAAATATTATGTCATCATGACTTATCTAGCCTTCCAGGCATGTTTTTTTATCGGATAATCGAAATTCCAATGATATAATTGAGTTTCATTTAGATTATTTTAATCTTATTTTGACTAATCTTATCTTGGCAACCAAACGAGGTCTTGGAGACTATCATTGGTTCCTAACTAGTTTACTCTCTGTAACCCTACAGACAAAGTCGAAGCTGTATTTGATTCTCGATTTTATAAACGGGGGCCATCTGTTTTATCATCTCTACAGGCAAGGGATTTTCAGGTACCGTCTTTTTCTTCATTTTCTTTAACACCAAATACGATTTTGTTTCATCTAATTAATTCCGGGTTTTTTTTTTCGGTTATGTGTGTTTGGGTAGTGAGGAGCAGGCGAGGGTTTATACGTCGGAGATTGTATCAGCTGTTTCGCATCTCCATGAACGTGGGATTGTGCATCGAGATCTAAAACCGGAGAATATTCTCATGGATGCCGATGGTCATGTATAATTCTTTAATCCTCCTACACAAAGAGTAATTTAATTTGCTTATTTACTAATCGAAGTAGTTTTTTTTTTTTTTTCAGGTTATGCTAACTGATTTTGGACTGGCTAAGGAGATCGATGAATCGAGCAGATCGAATTCTCTGTGTGGGACGACGGAATATATGGCTCCGGAAATATTGCTGTCGAAAGGGCATAATAAAAATGCTGATTGGTGGAGTGTTGGTATTCTTTTGTATGAAATGCTCAGCGGCAAGGTAATTTTCTTGAAATTCAATAACAAATAAATTAAAAATAAAATTAAATAAAAGGAAAAAGCTTTTGCATTTTCGTACTGATGTTGGAAGCTCGCCTTTTTTTTTTGTCAAGGAGACGCATTTTTTTTGGGTGAAGTGATCTTGCAATGTGAACATGAATATTTTCGATCTTGGAACGATACTTTTTATTTCAAATTCCGAAAGTTCCGATTTTTTCGGTTATTTTTTGGAACCAAATTGGAATTGATATTCGATTCGGATTTTAATTTCCAAAAATATTTCCGGAAGTTCAATTTTTTTTTTTCTTTCTGAAAATTATACTTATAATATCAATATTATTCTATTATATAGGTGACTAAAAAAATGAAAATTTTGAATTCTGCCTATTCCGATAAAAAAATTACGAGTTTGGAACAAGTTTTTTCATTTCAATTTCCAAAATTCGGATTTCCAATTTTGTTTTAAACAGAATTGGAATTGGTTTTTTCACTTAATTTTTTCTTTCCGAAAGTGCTAATTCCAATATGATATGTCCGTTTTCCACCCCTCTAGTGCTTGCATTAAGAAGGTATTATAGTTATCGTAATTTGAAAATCTGATTTTAATTTATATATTTTTCAGCCACCATACACAAATGCAAACAGAAAGAAGCTCCAGGAGAAAATCATCAACGAAAATTTCAAGCTCCCACCTCGATTAACAAACGAGGCTCACTCTTTGCTCAAAGGAGTACGATTCGATTCCCACATTTTTCATCTGTGTGAATTTACACACTTCAAAAGGTGTAATGCTAATCTCTTTTTTTTTTTTTTTTTTTTTAATTATTTCCGTAGCTGCTGCAAAAGGACCCGTTGAAAAGGCTGGGAAGTGGGCCCAAAGGAGCAGACGAAATAAAATCGCATAAATGGTTTAAGACGGTTAATTGGAAGAGATTAGAGACAAGAGAAGCATGTCCGAAATTCAGACCAGACGTGACTGGGAAAGATTGCACGGCTAATTTCGATAAATGTTGGACGACAATGCCCCTAGACGACTCCCCTGCTTCTACGCCTACTACGGCTGAGGAACACTTCCATGGCTATACTTACGTTGCGCCTAATCCTTGGCTCTCGTCGAAATAAAAATTTGTGTTAGCCTTACAAGATTATTAAAAGTTTTTGATGTAGTAATTGAGTGTGTTGAGAATAGGGTTTTTTTTTTTTTTTTTTTTTTTATGTAATCTTGATTTCTAGCTAACTTATTAGCTATTTATTCTGGTGAATTTGAACCCAGAGACAATGAGTTGTACACAAGAAAGAAAAAGAAAATAAATTCGCAAAATGTAATTAATTGTTTGCATGCTTTTAATTAGTAACACAATTATATGATATAAATGTTTCTATTTATGATATAGACAAGTTATATTAGTCAAATGGTATAGATTATAATTAGCATTTATTGACTTCTAGCAAATAAAATCAAGAAACAATAGTATGGTGTTCCGAAGGGGATGCGTGAATTGGTCCGGGTTTGAATTCCCTTGATTAACTGTTGATGGGTCGATTTTGTCAGCTTTGTGCGGTTATGTTTCTCGTATTGTACGAGGATGTACGTCTAACCAGTGCACCTATGTAATTAACTCCGAGTTCATTTATTATAAAAAAATAAAAACAAACAATAGTATGGTTTATTAGTACTCCCACTAGTGGCAAATCAAAATCAATAGCCAATAATATGACTTTGGTCACCTGGCAAGAAAGTGATAATAAAATCTCATAATTGATTTATTTCCCAATATTAGAAAAACATTATCATAGGAGACTCTTTTGTTTAGATGTGCAAATTAAGTGGCTTGGATTAGGATTATTAGATTTTTTTTTTGAAAATTTAGAAATTGAAATGAAAAAATGCGTTAAAAAAAAATCTTTAGATCAAAATCGACGCAAAATTTTATTTTCTTTTCCATCTAGAATATAAACATACATTGTAATATTCGATATTACAATCGCCGTCTTCGAAAAGAATACTGAATTTTGGGAGTTATTTTTGAAAATTAAAATTGAATTAAAAATTAAAATCTCGTATATATATTCCAAATTCGATAAAAATCAATTTCCACTCCTACTTTTTCGGTCTAGGCTACTCGAATAATGTGAATACAAATAATTGTTTAATATGTGGATATTATATTAGATTACACCTGACATTAAAATGCTCAACGTGATGATGAATACTTGTACAACATCGCGCCACGCTACTCAGTACTCACATCAATATATATATATTATTCCCCATATTTTTAATTATATATTTATAATTAAAAAATATATTATTGAAATATGCATATATTTCAAGAATATTTAGGAATATGGCAATGAGTATTTCACCGTAAAATTTTAGGGTAAATTAGGGCCACAACTCTAATCAATTTATGAAAATTCCATTTTTTTAATAATTATAATTACAATCCTCAACTTATATTGCTTATAAAAAAACTACTCATTCAGTGGGTGGTATATATAACAACACCGTAAAAATTGATATATACAAAACATAGATGAAAAAGATAATCGTAATTATCCCAAAAAATTGGATTTTTGGTAATTTAATTTTTACCTCAGGAGAGCAGTCGTAATTTACCCTAAAATTCATTTTATCAAGGAGTATCTTGTATAAGCACATGGAATATTATGAGAATAAAATGCAAATTATATTTGTTTTCGAATAGTTAGAACATAGAAAATCCAAAAATCTCAACATAGATGTCGACACCATATATGCAAATGCACCATAAAAAATAATAAAAATAAATAAATAAAATAAATATTATCTGAAGATAATGCTAGATATTAATATCTACCACTCAAAGGGAACTAAAAGGCCCTACCACAAGTCACCCACTACAATCAAATACTAAGAGATTAGACCTAATTTTCCATCCACATTTATATATAATATATAATATAACAACAATATAATATTTCTTCAACATTACTACATTTATTTATTTATATATAAAAATAAAATCCCACTTAAAATTGCTTAGAGTATGAATTGTTGGCTACTAGACCATGTCTTGATCATATTAATAGGTAGTCTATTTTGCCTTGCAATTGAATTTCTAGGTTTGATCCACTTTCATTTTATGAAATGATAAATACCGGACGATTTTTAGTAAATGCATATCAGTTTTTTTAATTATTAATCCCATTTCACCTATTTGTCGTCTCTTAAATTTTATTGTTGTTCTAAATAAAATTCTCACATTTCACTCCTATTTCTAAATTTATTACATTTAGTGTTGAATTTCTTTTAACCTAGGTTTTTAACTTTTAGAATAAAATTGGAGAAATACACTAAACTCAAAACTTGTCATTGAAAAAAATAGAGATTTCTACTTAGAGTGAAGAGTTTTTGGGTGATTTTTGTGCATTAAAAACAAAATAGATGGTGGGAAATTTTGACCTTGGAAAGCTTTATAAATCTAGAAAACGAGCGTCTACGTCTGCAGTAGACACTAGTCCCAGTTATGCTAAAATTTGATAAACTCATGTTTTGATGGAAAAAACGCGATATTCTGGTAACATAAAAGTTAAAAAAAAAATGGGATTGATGCTAGATTTTAATTCATTGAATAAAATGTCCTACGTTTACTAAAATCCCGATTGTTTGAAAAATAAAATAAAATTAATTAATTGCTCTACATTATGCTCAACCACACAAAAAAATAAAATAAAAAAGACAAATGTAATAAGCAAGAATCTAAAATATCAAAGCATCAAAGCAAAAGTACAAACAAACAACACCATGATATTTCTCTGGTTTTGTACAATGACAAAAGATTGAATTTCTAGCCAACTAATTTTGCCTAATCTCTATTTCTTGACATTCAATCCCTCTAATTTGATATTTTCGGTACCTTTTTTTTTACCAATTTTATTTTGTCAATACCAAGAAACCGATATCGAAACCTCAAGCAACACTTAAAACACTATCTCCACTGTTTAACATGTGGAAAGGTGAACCCATCCTTGATGGCTGATCTTGCCCTGATGAGAGTGATAGCCTCAGAGATAAAGAAGACGCCTCGTTTTTCACGTGTTGATTCGAGAACAAAACAGGGCCGAGCGAGAATCCATTCACATTCGAAGTTACAGGCAGCGGCATAGCCACCGTCGGCGGCGGCCGCGGCACCATCTGGACTGGGGTGTTGTCTTGATGGTTCTTGCTCTCTTCAGTTGCCATTGCAGTTACCTAATCAAACAAACACCATTGTTTCGATAAGAAAATACGAATCAAGAACATGAAAAATAGAGAAATTGTTCCTACTTTCGGGGTCGAAGTTTAAGAGTACTACATAACAATAAAATCGAAATAGAATCTTAAAAAATATCCACATTGGATGGCACTCAAGAAAGTTCTCTTTTTTCCTTTTTTTTTCACTTTTGACCTATAAACGAAAAGTAAAGAGAAATAGTGCTCTCCACACCCCAACTTAGAGAATGATTACATGTTGTATTTACTTTAGCAATCAAAATAAAACAACCAAACAACAAAGGAGGGGTTATCATACAAGATTCACCATTGTTTAGTATTCACCGGAGTAGATATAACTTTTATATAGGTTATTATTACCGAATCGGTGGTGATGTCGAAGAGGCTAGAGCGGCGGCGGCGGCGGTTGAGGTTATTCCGGCGAAGGAAGTATTTTTGGGCGTGGCTAGCGACTTGCGTTGGTGTTCGGGTTTTGACGTAATTTCTGGAAATTCCTCTCCAATCACCTCTTCCAATTTTCTCCAATCCAATTAGGAATAGCTTGTGTTCTTCTTCTGTCCATGGAACTCCTGCAAACAAATCAAAATCAAAGAAATTGGATCAAATTGATTTCATAAAAACCTAGAAATCATGAAAATGAATTGATTAATGCCTTCTTCTTTATTTTAACCCAAAACCAACAAATTCAGATTTTTAATCAGGATTTTTGAGATTTTTTGTATATGAAAGTCAACATAGTTTATATCAGATGAATCCTTAAGAAATTGGATTTTCACCCCCAAAAATTGTTAATGTTAGGTTTTATTCAACCAAAAACTGGCAATAGATTTGTAAATCATAAAAAAAAAAAAAAAAAACAAAAAAAAAAAAAAAAAAAAAAAACAAATTTCATCAATTAACGAAAAAATTGAAAAAAAAAATCATGATCAAAACGGTCAAAAATCATTTACAGAAATCTCAAATTCAAAAATAACAGCAGTAAATTGAAAAGTATATATATATATATATATATATATATATATATATATATATATATATATATATATATATATATATATATATATATATATATATATACAAAAAGGGGGAGGCGGGTAGGTGCCCCCTGTTTATGTCGGGCCCCCATGGGGCAGCCCGGGGGTAGGCATCGTCGGCGGAGGCGTAGGCGGCGGTGCCGCCATCCTCCGCCGCAACCTTCGGCGCTTCAGTAGTGTTGTTGACGTCGTTCGGATTGCTACAGTTGACAACAGGCTCGTATTCAGAGAGATTATTCATACTGACGCTCTTCCTCATCGGATCAACCCTGACTCTCACACCAAACAACATAATCTCGCCACCACCGGCGGCGGCGGACGGCGTCTCGCTGCACAGTGACATTATTCTCGGTAAGGATTCGAAATTTTTATTTTTTCTAAAAAAAAGAAAAAAATAAAAAAAACGGAATTTGGATTTTGACTGAAAATGAATGAATGGGAAAAGTGAGAGAGTGGGAGCGCAATTTATACGAGAGAGAGAGTAGAAAAAGCTTTGTGAAACAACGTGAGGTCCGTACAATGTAATGCTGGATATTTTAATTAATAATTAATAATTAATAAAACCCACAAATAATATTATACATACATGATGTATATAACTATATATATGTATATATAAGAGATAAGGGATAACCGGATAAGGAGTTGTTTGGTAGGAAATAATTCTTGATATAAGAAAATTTCATCGCTTGTTTGTCTAAAGTCTCCTATAGGTTTACACAAGATGATATATGTACTGCAATTTTTTATTTGTATTACAAACTATAAGATATATATGTTAACAATGGCGGAGTCAGCATAGTTTCAGAGGGGCCATCCATATATGTTAACAATGGCGGAGTCAGCATAGTTTCAGAGGGGGCCGATGGCCCCCAATAATTATCGAATCCTTAATTTTTTATGTACTTTAGAAGAAAAAAAGTCATATATAATGAAATATTATCAGTCTCTCCTTATAAAAGTTTTAATGCATTTGATATGCCGGACTTAAAATCCTAGCTTCACTTGTGTATATGAACATACAATATGTAAAATATATTAATTTATAGGAAATTATGACTTGGTGAAGTCTATCGAGTGCATAATTAAACTTAAATTTAATTGTATGTATATTTTATGTTATGACTATCGTTTTTTGGTTTATTAACCAAATTAGACCTTGTTTGGTTGTATGTGCCAAATTAGTTTGGATTGATATAGCCTATTAATTTTATATGCACTAATAAATTATTCAGTTAGTAAGACATTCGATTCCTAAAACTATTATATAAAATTATTATGTTTGTATTTGGTATTTTGAATAATTTCTCAAAATCCATAATAGCACTAATTGAATCATATAATTTGTACTTTAGGGGTTATAATTGTTGTTTTTTTTTTAGCTATTCCTTACATATTTATTTTATAATGAAGGAGATCACTGCCAATCCTAAAAATATATAAGTGTACTGAGTAAACCTACACTCTCGTGTAATAGCTTGCAGACCATACGAAAGACGTAAACTATACTAGGCTGACAATTTGTGACAAACTCCACCTAGCGACAGTTGACAAAGGGGATTTGAATCTGGATAAACGAACTTTAAACACTTTGAATTTCGGCAATTAAATATGTCATTAGTCCATACTATTTACTCCACCTAATTTAATAGTATCATTTGAAAAAAGCTATAGTATATAAGTTGATTAACTATATGATAAAAATAAAATAAAATTAATTTGAAGAATTAAGGAATAGTATGTGTTTTAATTTGTTCGAAGGTCAAAGATAATTTCCCAAAGTGGAAAACGAGAAAAAAGAAAATATTTAAGATGTTGTATGGGGGTATAAGTGGAAACGGACGGCTAATGGAATTTTCGAATATCCACTTTGAGTGTTCCAACTCTTTTCACTTAATCAAAAAAAAAAAATAAAAAAAAATAATAATAATAATAATAATAATCTAATTGTAATATTAGCATATTAAAGCAACAGTAGGCTAAATTTAGTCAATGTAGGCTTTCCTAATTTTTGTAAGCTTTTGGGACATCTATGAATGAATCAAATAAATTTAGTTACTTGTACAGTTGTACTCAATAAATCAATAAATAATAATAAAAAATAAACAATAAATAAAAAAAAATAGTTACTAATTATTTATGTCTATAGTTTGACAATCGACAAAATGATAAGGCCACGAGTCTTGTCATGCTAAAGAAACGGAACAAAACACTAAAGTCTCAAGCTTCATTATTATTATTATTATTATTATTATTATTATTATTATTATTATTATTATTATTATTATTATTATTATTATTATTATTATTATTATTATTATTATTTTTCTTAATGTTGATCAAGAAAAATATATTAGATATTTTTTTAGTTTACAAGAAGCTATTGGACTTAAATAATTGTACCTAGGTCTTCATTGATGGAAATTGTGTCGGCATTGTTTTGGTAATATAATATTCAATTATCTTAAATTTAATCAGGGGCGTAATCAGAAATTTTTTGCTTGGTGAGGCTGAGAATGTTCTAGATTTCGTAGAATGTTCTCTCGTTTGTAATTTCTGATGCGCCACAATCTGATATTAATAAGTCAAGAGACACATCTTATGATCATCTTATTACCAATTGACAAATTGCGAAGCTCGAATATGGTAAAATGTGGTACAAACTGGAAAATATTCCACATAATCTAGAATATTCCAATATATTCCAATAAATCATGTGGGTTTGTACTTGCCGAGACCTGTGTTCAGTCACGGACAACTCTATGTCGCACTCTCGAGAGTTAAGAGTCGAAGTGGCATAAATTTTTTGATTAACTTGGAATCTGGTGATACGACCAACGTTTCAAATAATATTGTATATAAGAAAGTTTTTCTACGTATATGAAGGTAATTCTATATACATAAAATTACAATATTCATTGACGATCTTTATTATCTATTATTTATATGTTTTGTTATGGACTTGCTATGGACTCCGCTCGCTATATTTCATGAATGTAATTTACTTACAATGATGTTATGCCATAAAACAGTTATATTGGTATTGTTTTGGTAACAATTTACATAGTTCGTATGTCCATTGTACAACATATGCAGGTTAGTTGCATTATTGGATTTGTTGCATGTGTTTAGGCGATTGGTATCAAACAATTCAAGTTTTCAACGCTCATGTCATTATAGTTGTACAAGTTTGGAATCAACTATAAATTCGCTCTTTTGTATGCGGAAATTAAAACCTTCGATATTTAGTTTTTTCAATTATCTCGGCTTATTTTATCACTTACACCATACAAATTAATTTTCTTTGAATATTTTCTACTTCTTTCTTTCACTTATTAACAATTAATATTACTATTTCGAGAACATCTTTTATTACTCAATATTTGTTTTACGATGAATACCCCGTGCATCGCACGAGTGTAGTACTAGTTCTAATAAATTTAACCCCACAAGGGTGGACGTGTAAAAAGATTCATAATTGAAGAAGTGATTTTAATTATCTAAACATGAAAGGTTTCTTTTATAATTTGATCTTATCTCAGGGGTCAACAATTATTTACCCTACTTTAAAAGAAAAACATAATTAGCCAATTAGGTATTATTAATATAAGATTAGTGGAAGCTAATAACGTGACTACATGAATTGATTCCAAGCACGGCAGCCAATATGGTACGATGATCCTAAAATAATTACTCTGATTAATAACAAGTTGATATATATATAGAAAAAATAAAAATAAATGGTAATTATCTGAATAATTAACTGACAATTTTGTCTAAGACACCATATGGAGGATCTGTTTGGTCTCCAAGATTATTAATTAAATCATCTTCAATACTTTAAACATGATTAGCGGTGGTCCCTCCTCACTAATTAATATTTTTTAATACATGAAATATAATCTTTTTAATTATTTCTTAAAAATAACAAAATTTTAAAGATTAGATTTATCTATCCTATAGCCTATAAGTTTTTTATTATTATTATTATTATTTTAAGTTTGTAAGCAATAAGCTAGCAAATCTTAATCAACATCTAAAGTCTAACTGCAATGCTTCGTATAATTAATACGATATCCTCTTAGGCCTCGTTTGGTTGGCGAGATTAACTATTATTATATAAATTATTGGACTTTATTTGATGTTTGGTATCCTCATGAACTTGTTAGCTCGACTCGCAAATATTATGTTATCATGATTTATCTTGCATTTTAGGTAATTTTTTGTTGGACGTATCGGGATCCAATAAAATAATTTGGAATTTCATTAAATTTTCTAATCCTATCTTGATTAATTTTATCATGTCAACCAAACGAAGTCGTCTTAATTAGTTAATTTGGTAGATAATTAGAGGACGCTAGAGTATTAATAGCAAGGGGCTTGACAATTTGATTAATTAAGAAGTTGGATATAATTGGATAAACACCCCAATTATTGCATAGGATATCGCTTATCTTTATTATTCAAATATATATATATTTTTTAATTTTAAATGTAACTTATAGTTGTAATAGTTAAGAAAAGAAAAGATGTTATGCTTCTGTCAAGATTTGAAGCAAGACGTGTTTGGTGAATCTAAAAAATATTAAAATATTTACAAGATTTTTAAGAGATTATTATTATTAAGTATCATATTATTTAGTAACTAGTTTGGCACAAAATCTTAATTGATAGAAAATACTAGTGGTGAGCAAAGAAAACCAAAAACCTAAAAACCCGAACCAAAAACCTAAAAATCGAGCCATTTCGAATCATTTCGAGTAGCAAACTATCGGAACAATTTTTTTATGTTTGAAGAATCGAATTGGTTCATATATTATGCAAAGGGTCAATAAAACGAACCAAACCGAAGCCAAATTTCACTAGAATTTTAGATAATATGGAGTAATAGACACATATTATTTATTACACACGCATACCAAATGCTTATTAATTGTCGTAACTTGTAAATCATACTCAATAATAATAATAAAATTCAATTTTTATTAATATTCGAAAAGTGTAAGCACTGTTTTTTCGACCATAAATTGTCGTATCACAAGATTAATACTTACCAAAATTGACTTAGAAAGTTTAATCAACAACACCTTTGTTTTTTTCTTAGCATGCAGTGGCGGATCCAGGACGAAAATTCAGGGTGTGCCGAGTCCAAGAATTTACTGTATAGTGGAGTTAAATTTTTGGGAGTTCGGGGGCAGCGCCCCCGGAAAAAAAATTTGAACCTTTTTTTGTTGGATAAATTAGGAGAAGGGAAAAAAAATTCAAACTTTTTTTTTTTTTTGGATAAATTAGGAGAAGAAAAAAATTGGTACTTTTTTTGTATATTTTGAATTTTGGGTGGACTAAATAATAATATAGATATAATATAATGCGTTTTTGGGGAGAGGGGCTAAAAAAACAAGAAAAAAATTAGGACTTTTTTTGTATATTTTGAATTTTGGGTGGACTAAATAATAATATAGATATAATATAATTTTTTTTTGGGGAGAGTGACTAAAAAAAAGAAAAAAGTTAGGACTTTTTTTGTATATTTTGAATTTTGGGTGGACTAAATAGTAATATAGATATAATATAATGTGTTTATGGGAGAGGGGCTCAAAAGAAATTTAGACAAAAAATTAAACAATACTTTTTTGTACCATAATGGAGTAGAACTCATGACCTCATCTAACAATTTGGAGATCTTTGCCACTAAGGCAAATTTATTTTCGTTTCTTGGGGTGGTCCATGGCATACTTGGCCACCCCCTAGATCCGCCCCTGTTAGCATGCCATCTTTTACTTTACTAGGTTTTAAGTATGATAAATGAGATGGATTAAACTAGGGAAAAAACGTTTCCTTTGTGTCGAAGGAAATGTCGTAAGAAAAAAGTTACGGAACACGATAAATTAATATTTATTGGAGATATTAATATTCAATAATATACTTTACGAACATCTTTGAGATATAAATACGAAACTAGCCAAACCTAATATCAATTATGCTTCATCATTTTGGGTAAAACATAAAAAATAAAATATAACTTATAAAAAAATGTAAATCCCAAAAAAGCCCACCAATATGTAGCTTTTTGACTTTTGATCCCAATCAAATGAAGAAAGCAATAATTTTTTAATGAAAGTTAAGATTTTAGGGATTGAGTGACATTTTTAAAAAGTCTCTCTCTCTCTCTCTCTCTCTCTCTCTCTCTCGTGGTGTTGCGTAAAGAGAGTTATAATATTGTAGTGATCCCCACGAAGGATGATAAATATATTTAGGTCTCCTTTGTTCGGGAAGTTTATACAGTTAAATCTATATAAATTAATGCAGTCGGGACTAAGAATTTTTTTTTTTAATTTAGCGAATTATTAAATTATCGAGTTAATAATTTAATACATTTTCATCAAGTTGGACTGAGAGAAAATATTATTTAATTGAGATTATTAATTTATCGAATATTATTTTATCGTGATTCTACTGTAAATTATTAATTAAATAATTAAATTTTATTAAATTATTTAATCTTATCTTGACTTATATTATTATTTTAACGAGCAAACAGGGTCTTAGGATATAAAGATAAAGATAAAGATAAACCGTAGTTTATAACTTTATACAGAAGATGCAATCCTCAAAATATTACACCATATTTGTCTGCCACGATGGTTTTGTGTGCAAATTGCATTAGTTTTACATCTTTTTGACCATAATATATAAAATATATTCCCTTTGAACTCAACCACTGAAAAGGCAGCAAATTAACCATTATTTTATTGTCTTTAGAAATTCCAATTTGCACTAAATAATAATTAATAATAGTGTTGTAAATTATAGAATAAAGTTTGTACATAGTGACAGATGATGTGTTTTTACTTTTTACTTCAATATTGAGATTATTTTTTACTCTTTAGCCAATAGCAAGTTTCTGATCCTAGACAATAGCTGTCAATATCACATGGTTGTTGTGCTATCAATTTTAATGAAATTAAAAATTAAAAATTAAATAAAATTAAAATACATATATACATTAGAAAAAATAAAAATATATATATGAGTGTGCATGATTATGTGCAGATCAACGATTAATAGTTATTCGATGTATTTCATCGAATGTAACATCAAATGAACTTGGAATGATCAAATCAAAATACATGCAACTTTAGAGAAAAAAAAACGATCTTTTTCTAAAGTAAAAAACTTAATTCAAATTTTAGTTCCGAACATTTCAGAAATTAAACGTTTATTTCAATTTAAAAAAACATTAGAATTTTCGGAAATCGTCCTACTTCCACATATATTTTGTGCAAAAATGCAGTTCTGATGTACGAGAACTGATATTTACAAGTCAAAGAGACACATCTTATGATCATCTTATTTAAAAAATGTGGAGCTCGAATACGGTAAAACATGTACAAACTGGAGAATATTCCACATAGTATATAAAATTCCACTAAATTTGAATCGCAATAACGTATAAAAAGACTCATGGTTGAGAAGTGTTGTTGCAATTACTCAAACATTAAGGGTATTCTCATAATTTAACCTTACTTCACGTGGGTGGCCGTAATTTACCTAACCAAAGAAAAAAGAAAAAAAACCCAGGATGAAACAATCATTCATTCGTCACATTCCATTTCATTATTGTTCGATCTAAGCTAGTTCCATAACTTACACAAAATATCGGTTAAGATACATACATGCATGTATGCACGTGTTTCTCACGTGCTTGTCTTTTAAGTGTTTTTTCTCTTTTTTTTCCTGCCACTACTAAACTAGACAACATAAGTGGGAAGCAAGGAGCACAAAACCTGTCCTATATCAAATGTCTGCTGCATCAGCATTATATAAGTCTCGAGCATGTAGAGACACATTCTTCCGTATCTATCTCCGATAACATAGAGTTTGTGTCTTGAGATCCAACGAGCAAAAAGATTCTGTTCTCGATATTTCATACCCCGCTCGTCATGAGTTCCGTATTCGCCCTAAAACTTTTCTCCTTCGCATCAGAACTGCTGTTTTGCTTCACTTCCCTCGAGGGCGTTTTTGTCCCGGAAAACGGAAACGGAGAATTACTCAAACCGACTATGTTTTCGATTTCGGCGTCTTTCGAAAATATCCGTTTCAGTTGAGACTTGTGACAGATTATTCGCCCCTTATTCCAACCGGGGAAACAGAATGACGACGACACATCTTTCAGCAAAGAATAGACGGCTTTCGAAACCGGAAAATCACGTGTTATCGAGCTCCTTTCCATTTGCCCTCTTCTGCAAATAAACCCATAATCGAGATTGACTTTTGGTCAACTCTTTCGACGTCGAATATTATTACAACTTTAAGAAGGGAAATTAAAAAGCACTTACACCACAACGGCAGTTGCTAGTTGAGGAAGCTCCCCTCCGTTAATTAAGAGCTCTTGCATATCGTTCAGCCACACTGATGTTGCGGTGCACGCACCCCCAGGCCACATTCTGATTGGCCCAAATAAATAATGTTACGCATAAATAAGAAAAAAAGAATATAAAGAAGCACCATAATAAATACTGAACTGTTAAATGCCGTTTCAGTTTTACTAATACTGCTTTGACTTCGAATGTTAACTTGACCCTTTTCTAATCTGATTTTGGCAAAATTCAAAATACGTAAAATGTAGTCCTTTGACATAGCTTTCTAATCCAAATTGAATAAGCTAGATTGGATGTCGGATGACAAAATTATGCATGAATGAGTTACATTTTGAATTTTAGGTAACTCCAAACATCAAAGTTGTGGGAAGTGTTCATTGATTCATGCATATCTTTCTCACCCGATATCCAATCTTGGTGATTCGAGTTGGATTAGAAAGCTAACTCAAAGAACTACAAATTCCGTGTTCTGAGTATTGCCAAATGCAACCTCGAAAATGGTCAAAATCATATCTGAAGTCGAAACGGTATTAGTAAAATTGAAACGACATCTATCACATCCCAATAAATAACATAAAGACAGAGAGTAATGGAGAGATCGTATAATACCTATGAACATCTACGGACCATATGAGTTTGTTCTTACGATATAGTTCTGGATATAGGCCTCTCTTAGTTGCTTCGGAAAGCACTTTTGCAGCTCTTTTTTTCTGGCCTAAACACCAAAGTGCTTCTAGAATTGTGTTGTAGAACCTGATTCCCAAACCACAACCCTCGGAGTTGAGTTTGTCGAATACGTACTCTACCATTTGCCAATTACCGGCATCGTCGAAATCTCCTTTAATCATCTGCCCTATGACTTGGTGAATATTGGATGTCCTGTTTGTGTGCATCTCGTTTAGTAATTCGTTGGCCATGTCCCACCTGAAAATAACAATATTAAATGAGTCTCGAAACATAAAATATTGATAAATATGTTTTTTTTTTTAACATTTTACTGTCATAAATAGTTCAATAACACGACATTCCAGTTTTCCTACATGACATGCATGCAAGTGTAAGAACACAGTCCGGACAAATTCCAGTTCGCAGTTTCCCATTTCCGGACTCTTAAGTTGTTGTAACGTTTAGCAGGCAATCTTCTGTTCCTGTCAGCTGAGTTATCTCTTTATTCTACGATTCTTAGATTTTTTCAGTAACTAGGGTTGTTTAGACAAAATAAAAACCCCCATACTCTTGATCCTTTCATTCTTTAAGATCACCTTCATTTATTCCTAGGGTAAATTACGGCCACCCCTGAGGTAAGGTCAAATTACGAAAAAAACCCTCAACTATGAATCTCCTTCCACGTCCACCCTTATGGTGTCAAATTCAACATAATCTTCTAGATTCCGTGGAATGTTCTCTAGTTTGTACTCGTTTTGTGTAAAAATGCAGTTTCTGATGCACCACAATCTGATATTTACATGTCGAGAGACACATCTTGTGACAATCTTGTTTCAAAATGTGGAGCTCAATGGGGTAAAAGAGGTACAAACTGGAGAATATTCTACGTAATCGAGAAGATCCCACTAAATTTGACACCACAAGAGTGGATGTGTAAGAAAATTCATAGAGTTGAGGGGTGGTTGTAATTACCCAAACAGGAAGGGTTTTTTCGTAATTTGACTTTACCTCAAGGGGATGGCCTTAATTTACCCTTTATTCCTAAGGCCCTTACAGACCTTCACTATAAGCCAAAACCAACAAAAACATACAATTCAAGCTACCGATACATCGAAAATAAAAGATGCACAAGAAAACGAGAATATCAAGAGAGGGAGAAATTCGTTTATTTTCATCTCGGTCCTCCCTTAAGGCCTCATTTGCTTCAGAAAATATGATGTGACAGACAACGATCACAAATAGAAGCTTTTAATACAATAACTTGGATTCGGTCACATCGAAATTTCAATCGTTTCTCTTGTTATTTAATCGAATAGATCATCCTCTTAAAAAAAATTACGTTCAATGCGCTATAGTTGACGTAATTCTACAGTTTTAACGGAGAAATAACAGCAAAACATCAATATAGAAGTGAATAAACGAACAAAATAGTATACAGTTCTGACCTGTCAGCTTTTGCATACACCGCCAGCATCATACAATAGCACATGACACTCGGTTGTATACCCAACTCCTTAATCTGTCGAAACTGCTCCTCGCTCTCATCGACAAGTCCGACAAAGCAATACACACTCAAAACCGCCTCGAGAGTATATTCATCGGGGTCACACCTCACCTTCTCCATGTTGACATAAGCCTTTATCGCCTCCTCGAATTGCCCACCCTGCCTATACGCTTCGATGACACCATTCAACGAATCCCGATTCCGTGGAACGCCCAACTCACTCATCCTCGACAGAATAGCTTCACTCTCCTTGTAAAGCCCACCTTTTGCAAAGCTATGAATCAGAGAATTATACGTCTCGATCGTCGGCATACTTCCCACTTCGTTCATCGTGTTGAAGGCAACAAGAGCCTCTTCGTACAGAGCCGCCTGACCATACGATTCGATCACGCCCGTGTACGCTTTGCAGCTCGGCACCAAACCTTTCTCACTCATATGAAGCAAAATCCTCTTTGCATCTTCGTGGAGCCCGCCTTTCCCGCAAGAGTAAATCAACCCCTCGTAAGTCTCCATATTCGGCTCCACGTTCTCCTCCACCATATCGTGGAACAACGTCACCACCTCCTTAAAATAGCCTCCTTCACCGAAAACCTCGATAAGTATATTGTACGTATCCGCATCCGGCTCCGTGTTGCTCACTTTCATTTCAAGAAAGAGCTCCCTCACTTCATCGTATCTCCCGTTTTTGCCGAACAAGCTTAGCAGAATACTGTAAGTCCCGGCATTCGGAATGCACCCCGCACCCTGCATTTGTCTGAAAACCACCATAGACTCCTTTATCTTCCCCGAATGAGCATACGCATCCAATAACACGTTGTAACTCATTATCTCGGGCAAATTACCCTCTGCCTCCATCTCACCTAGTAGCTCGGAAACCTTCTCCAACTTCTCCAATTTCCCAAACGTATCGACTAAATAACTATACGTAGTAATATCAGGCAAAACCCCACTCTCGTTCATCGTCCTAAACACCATCTCCGCCTCATCCCCCAAACCCCTATTCGAGCAAGCGCTCAACAATGTATTGTACGTAACCAAATCCGGCTGAACGCCCTCGTGTCGCATTTCCCCAAACAAACTCAACAAACCCTCCCAAGAATACCCTCCCCTCGCACAAGCATTAATAACTGTATTGTAAGTTAAGATATTCGGCAAAATTCTATCTACCTTCATCCGCTCCAGCAGCTCCATCGCAACCTCGTACTGGCCGTTCCGACCGTAGGCGTTGATAATCGCGGTGTAGGAGAGCACGGTCCTCGCGACGGAGTGCGCGGCCATTTCGTCGAAGATCTCGGCGGACTTATCGAGAAGGCCCTCGCGGCCGAGGATGCCGATGATGAGGGAGTAGATGTGCTCGTTGGGCTTGCACCAAATCTGGCGCTGCATGTACTTGAAGAGGCGGAGGGAGCGCTGCCAGTCGCCGCGGAGGGCGAATTCCTTGAATACGAGGGAGAAATCGGAGAGGGAGAGCTTGTTCTTGAAGGCGTCGAGGCACCGTGCGATGCTGCCGCGCGGCGGGAGGCTGGAGAGCTTGTTGATTAGGGTTTCGACGTCGTAGCTGTACTTGCCCTTCTCGACGGTGACGCTGGGGTTTCCGAGGATTAGCTCCTTCGTCTTGGCCTTCGCGACTACGGAGAGGCTGCGGCGGAGGATTGGGAGGTGGTGGCGGCGGCGGTGGAGGAATTCGGAGTGGAAGGGGAGGTGGGAGTGGGTGGTGGAGGTTGGGGTGAGGATGTGGAAGAGGGTGTGGTGGTAGGATAGGGCCAATTTCGTCATTTTCTATCTTCACATGTGAGTGGAGTGAAGCTCTGAGTGTTGAAACGGTAATGGAGTTTTTGGGGTTTAAGCCTTGGGGGGAGAGAGAGGGAAGGAAGGAGATAACACGTGGAGTTTTGGTATTTGAAGATAAAACTAGAAAATTAGTTATATGTATATAGGTTTCGTTTGCTTATATACTCCCTCTATTCCACAATATCGGTCTCTTTTTTAAAATATTTTTGTTCCGTATTATCTGGCACTTTAGATTTCCAATACTGTATTAAATGCATTTTTCCTATTTTAACCTTATTAATGAAACTCTATTCATTAATTTTTTCTTATAAATCATTAAATATTAAAGGTTGTTTTAGTCATTTTTATATGATTTTTCTAAAAACAAGATATATTTATTGAGTTTCTTAATTTTTGTGAAAAGTGAAAAGTGACAATTATTTAGGAACGGGGGGAGTATTTGATTAGACTGGATTAATTTATTTCTATTGATTAATTAATTAATTAGTTAATAATTTGTTTGGTTATTAAGATTACATGTTGTAATAAATTTGTTGGGTAAATTACAACCACTGAGGTATGGTCAAATTACGAAAATCCCTAAATTACAACTACTGAGGTATGGTCAAATTACGAAAATCCCCTTCTGTTTTGGTAATTACACCCACCCCTCAATTATAATTTTTTTTTTCCAACCTTGCGGTTTCAAATTTAGTGGGATCTTCTAGATTATATAGAATATATCACTTTTGTACATATTTTATCTCATTCAAGCTCCACATTTTGAAGCAATGTGATTATAAGATGTGTTTTTTGGCTTGTATATATCAGATTGCCATGCATCAAAAACTGTATTTTTACACAAACGATTACAAACTAATGAACATTCCACAAAATCTAGATGATTATGTTGAATTTGACACCATAAGGGTGGAGGTGTAAGAAGATTCATAGTTGAGGGGTAGATGTAATCTTCAAACAAGAGGGGTTTTTTCGTAATTTGACCGTACCTCAAGGAGGTGGTTGTAATTTACCCTAAATTTATTAGGTTATGTTATTATACGTGAATTGTTTTAAGGATAAAATTGTAATTTTCTATTTTAGTCAGCCTTACAAAATTAATCGTAGGGGGGAGGGATGTTATTAATTTCATGACGTAGTAACACTTAATTGCGGACTTCGACTTTAGTAGCGGGCTTGAGTAGTGTTGAATCTTACCAACCAAACATCTTACTGATTCCTACTATTTAGTCAATGTAACCTAATAGTAGCAAGCAAACGAGGCCATAAAGTATAAACTAAAAGGGGATGAAACTGTAATTATGTATAACTACCTATTAAGTACAAATACACACATGAGTGTGTGTGATCATGTGTAGATCTATGGTTCAAATTCACCAAGTGTAATTAATCATGTGTAGCATCTAATTCCCTGTAATTGTTGTAATTAACAAGTTCCAAAATATATAAATAAGATTCTAATTAAAATCAACACGAATCGAGCCCGGTTATATATATATATATATATATATATATATATATATATATATATATATATATATATATATATATATATATATATATATATATATATATATATATATATATATATATATTTATCGAACGGAAATGTAGATGTTTAAAATTACTTAATTATGTTGATGAATTGACTTCAAACGAGCTTTTGAAAATCAATCTAAAATCGAATAATTTTATTTGCTCTGTGACCTGAAATTTTTACTTACTAATTTTTACAGACGCCATGTTGATAGTTTGCTTTAGAATTAGTTTAGAAATTTACAGATTTTCACTTTTTAAACAAGTTTAAGAGAAACGAGTATCAAAAATAAATTCTAAAGATCATTTACCTTAACCCCGAATGATGGCTCTTAATTAGGAGGTAAAGTGTATTGAGAAAGATTATTGTTTAACAATATTTAACTAATTTATATTAGACTGGACTGGCTTTGATTAATTCACGATACTAGCATCTTAAGAATCCAACTCTAACTAAATGAGTTCATAGGTGTCCTTCAGCTCATCATTCATACCTTTCGCTGCTACGCTACATAAGGCACCTAAGCTTGATAACATACCCGGTGTTTTCAAATAGTGAGGTTGGTACGAGCCTTCTAACTAGTTATATATTAAGTAAGATGTTTGCTTACTTGAATTAAATTTAGCTATGTCATTTTAGGTTCACGTAATCACCCCATTTTTGTGATTCTCTCTTTAGTATTTGGAGGAGGTTAGTGCAAAACATGGATTTTTTAGGGGGTGAAGTGCTATCTGCCCAAGATATTTTACGATTTTATATGTCTTTTGCTATAATTAATGCATATTTATTGATTTTATTAATCTGAATCCAACAACCCAAAGCAACGATTAAAATGTAAAGGAGGAAATAATTTATAACAACAATTATTCACTTTAAACTAAAACTTCTCAATCACCTACCCAACCAACCTTCTTGAATCATTAGTCATCCATATTCATTCGAGAATACAGTTCGAAAGAGATGATTCACAATTTTAAATAGATGGTTCCAAATTGTGAACCATCGGTTTCGAATCGTGAACCATCGATTTCAAATCATGCATACGAGAACAATAAAAGATACTCCATCAAATATAAAAATCATCTAAGACAACCGTAAAAAGTAAATTTTTTCAGCCCATAATATTTTATTCCTCATTATTGTAAAAATATAACTATCGATGAAAAAATAATTATACTCTTCAATTGGGTTATCAAAAGAAGAGATTAATTAAAGGGTTATGGTCCTAAAATATTACAAACACAATTTTGTGTGTTTACTCTATTATTAGTTCAACAATTTATAGACTTTTGATCTTGTGCACCCTATAGTTTGTCTCGTATTTCAATTATATATCGATAGGGGTACACAATACCATCTACCGACACTTCGTGAATATGATTAACCAAATGTTGTACTGATGCAGTGTATCCTTTGTACCGAGGGCTTGTACGCTGTATCTCGAAAGATACGAAGCCTAAACGTGAGAGAAGCAATTTGTGAATCGTTACAAAAGAGATTAGCACGACTATGACCATGATCATTCATATGTTATGTCTACATATAAGAAGATCAAGACTTCATTGACTACGGATGCAGTACCATTAATATCATAGTTGGAGGTCAACATTGACCCGTAGTTTGCGATTCAAATTTCTTTGTTTTTCTTAAATTCATTTTTCATGTTTATATCTTAAAGAATTGAACTTAAAACTTTCTTTTTTGCATTTTATTTTATGTTTATTTTAAGTCAAAGTATAGGTCTAAAAACAGTAAGTGTTATAACTGTAGTGATCCTCGTCATTATGCTCAAGTGTGTACAAAAGCTCAAAAGGATCAAAATATATCAAGCTAATCAAGTTGGTGAAAATATGGGTAATGTCTTTATGATTGCTGAAACTCAACTTGCTACTGTGAATTTTGTATTTCCATGCTTGAATAACAATGAAGAAGAACCACTATAGTTGTACAACGGAAGAACATGTGTAATACAAACTTTTTTCCTGCACAAACAAAACACTGAAAATCTAAGTTATGTGCAACATCTATTAAAGCGAAAAAAGAATATGAAAAGATATCTCACCTCCAGTAATTGGTGGGCCAAATAGAATGTGATGAAGGAAAATTTAAAACAGGAAGTTTGAACAGAAATTGAAGTCACCAATACCAAGTACATGGAAGTAATGAAAGAAAAACTAGAAAGGAAATTATACAAAAGAAGACGAGAAAGAGAGACGGGGCAGGCGAGAGAAGAACATGAGGGAGAAGAAAATAAAATCAATAGCAGAGGAATTGAGAGAATGGAGAGAAGGCGGTGCATCGAAAACTATGAGCCGACAATTCGTGAGTTATCCAAGAGCAGATTTGATCGAAAAGGGTAGAAGGCTACAATTGGAGGAAAAATGCGGTAGAAAGCGACGCTGGCGGCAAGGGCGGTGGCGTCGAACGAAGCGTCGGCGGAGGTGGCAGTTGAAGCAGCTGCAACACTCGTTCGAAGTCAGCGATTGTAGACGAGGAGGTGAAAGGGTTGGGAATAAAAGAAAAAAGGCAAAAGAAGAAGTAAGGAGGTCGATCGTGCATTTTCCAAAAGAAAAGGGAAAAGAAAAGAAAGAGAGGGGGTCTGGAATGACTGGCTATTTGATTCTGCATGTTCAAATCACATGACTCCTTATAAATACATGTTTACTTTATATGTGGAACTTAAACAAGGTTACGTGATTCTTGCTGATAGTAGTAAAAGGCATGTGCTAGGAATTGGAACTGTTTGTCCTTTTGAAATTGATTATGTGTTAACTCTGAAAAATGTCCCACGTGTTCATAATTTAAGCAATAGCTTGATGTCTTGTGTTGTTTTGGAAGATACTTGATATAGGAGTGCATGAGCTAACGGTTACATGAAGATTATGATAGGTAGTTTGCTTGCATTTAAGGCTATGAAAGTGCAAAACATGTATGTTGCATCTACTGTGTCAATTTCTTCTGTGAATTTTGTCTATCATAACATGAATAATATGTCACATAATAGATTATGACATATGAGTGGTAAGGGATTAGAAATTCGGCATAAAAACTATTATCTTGGTAAAGATTTTGTATGTGAGATGCATTACAGGAAGACAAGCTAAAGTGAAATTTTATGTTTTTCTATTCCCATTTATTTTTTAAATGTAGTGAAATACTTGAGTACATACATGCTTATGTGTGGGGTCCTTCTTATGTTCCTACACATGGTGAGAACAAATATTTTATGTCCATTGTTGATGATTTCTCTAGAATGGTGTTTGTTTTCTTACTAAGCATAAGTCTGATGTATTTGATAAATTCAGAGCATGGAAAACGCTAATGAGAATCAAACTAGTAAGAAAATTAGAACTCTTAGGACTGATAATGAAATTGAATTATGTAATCATGAATTTAGTGTTTTATGTGCTGAATTTGGGATCAAAAGGCATAAGACAGTTGTCTACACCCCTCAACATAATGAAATAGCTGAGAGAATGAAAAGAACCCTTATTGAAAGGATTAGGTCCATTTCAGTAGTTTTGTTTGCCGAAACCTTTACGGGGTGAGACAGTGTTGAATGTTGCTTATTTGATTAATAGGCCTCCATTTGTTCGTTTAAATGAAAAATTATCTTAATCTGTGTGGACCGGTAAGAATGTTGATCTATCTAACTTGAAAGTGTTTAGATATTATGCTTTTGTGCATCAGAAAACTGATAAGTTAGAATCGATATCTATAAAATGTGTGTTTTTTGGCTATCCTGATGGAGTAAAGGGTTACATATATTCATTAAGGGGTGAGTATGATTTTAAAATTGTTATTAGTAGAGATGTAGTGTTTAATGAGTTTTTTGAACATCCATGTCTAAATGTTTCGGCTCTTATTGTTCCTGAACCTGCTTCTTCTTAGGTGGATATACCCTCAGAGATAGCTACTGAAACTGAACATGATTCTGTGAATGTGCCGGAAAATGTTTACGATAACTTTGAAAATGATGCGACTAATATGGATGACTTGAATGACTATTAACTTGTTGGAGATAGGTTCCTAAAGAAACAAATTAGAAAACATCACAATTTTTTGATGATTTTCAGCTTGCCTCTTATGTGCTCAATGTATCTCAATCATTAGATGAAAATGAACCTTAACAATACAAATATGATATGTAATCTTTTGAATATGTTGAATGACTTTCTGCAATGGATGATGAAATGAAATCATTACATGTCAATCATACCTGGACTCTTGTTCCTAAACTACTAAGTGCTCTTTTATAGAATTTAGATGGATGTTTAAAATGAAACATGAAACTGATTCAATAAGATATAAAGCTAGAATTGTCGCAAAATGTTTTACACAAAAAGAAGGTATTAATTATAATGAAATATTTGCTCATGTTGTCAAACTCACCACTTTAAAAATTATGCTGCCTTAATTATTCAAATTGAAGCACATGGATGTAAAAAATGCTTTGCATGGTGAACTTGATAAGCAAATTTTCATGAGACAACTTGAAGGTTTTATTGATAAGTTGCATCCTGATTATGTATGTTTAAAAAATATGTATATGGTCTTAAGCAATCTCCTAGGCAATAGAACAAGAAGTTTGATGCTTGTACGATGTCTTTCAAATTCAAAAGAAGTGCATATGATCCATGTTTTTACTTTAAAGATAACTATCAATCTCATGTATTCCTTCTAACTTATGTTGATGACATGCTACATGTCAGTCCTTGCATGAAAACCATTAATCATGTTCAAAATTAATATGCATCTCTGAGTTTAAAGATAACTGTCAATCTCATGTTTGCTAGTTAAAAATTTTAGACACGCATCTATGAATTTTTCTTCCGAAAACACTTATCCATACGCATCTCCGAGTTTGATAATATGTTACAAGTTTTAGTGCTCGTGAGATGGTGTTGCAAGAGGTAAACTCGATTGTTATTCTCATATTAATCTCATACACTCAACAATTACTTGGGATCACTTAAAAGAAAATTGTTCATTAGGTGAGGAAGCACTTCAAGCCCGAGTTTCTCAATCGACCGGACGAAATTTTGGCCAAGAAAGGTGTTGCCTTAAGTGTTGATGAAACGGCAGTGGATTCTATATTGGCCCAAAGTAATATATATTTCGGCAGTTTTTCCGAAAGATTATTATGTTACCACGTCTAATCCCCGAAACTCGAGGTCAAAAAAAAAAAAGTGTTTATAGTTTTACATATCTGCACATAAGTGTAATAAGTACAATACCAAAGATCATTCATTCCCTATATAGTAAATTAGTCGACGTATCTCTAAATCAGTCGAATACACATGGCTAAACCTATACATAAACATCTCTCATGGCCAAATTAAATATACATATCCAAAAAAAAAAAAAAACAAGTATCCACATAAAATTGATTTGGCTCGAATTATTGACAACCTGTTTTTTCTTTAATCAGCGGAATAAATCGGGAAAGGACCACATTATAAACCTGGCAAAGATGTCAGTCTCGAGGAACTCGATATGTGCAGCCCTTCCAATTATGGTGTTGAGGTTTTTACCTTGCAATGAAATGTCGAAATTGACGTCACATCGCATGAAAACTCTGTGCTCAAAGGACCGTGCTCGTATTTGGTCCAAGCACTCGTTAAGCATCTCTAGGAATACTTTGCCCTTTTTCGAGTTGTCTCCTGAAGATGCTGGACACATCTCTATTCTAGCAGAATGATATGGAACATACCCATCCTGAAAAAAAAATCGGATAAATGCGTTGAAACTAACGAAATTTTTTAACTGCTGAATGCAAGATTATTTATCCTTAGGTCTTGATTGCGAATTATGATTCCCTAGAACTTGAAAAAAAAAAGAAAACAAGAAAACGATTATATTATGAAGCTGCAAAAAGTAGGATATGAACTACCTGCGGTGACGATAGCAAAATGATGTTCCGAAAATTCTCCAATGTCTTATGCTGAAGTAAGAAGAGAAAACGGAAGTATCAGAACACGAAAGCATCGAGGAAAAATAAAAACAATCATATTTTTCCCTCCCTCCCTCCCTCCCTCTCTCTCAAGAATAAGACGAACAGATGAGTACCTTGGATAGTTTGTACAAGAATGTATTTTGGAGATCAGGGTCATCGGTAAAAGTGAGCTGATGAAGACATTGTGTGCCCTTCAGTTTCTTCAATACCCACAAACCCCCGTTAAATATAGAGTTCGAACTGTAAAGATAACCGAGATGTGGACCGGAAACCGATAGATACGTATGCAGGTATTTCATGTACGGTTCCATAATGCTATCTGCAAGATTAGACAATGAACGGTAATGAATTTGCGAAAAATTTAACTAGGCCGCACGTAATTAGATTATAAGTTTTTAAAGAGTAAAACCTGTTAGTGCGGTTCTCAAAATTAAGTTTCCAATTGAATGTCCGACAAAGTTGAGTTTAATTGTTCTCAAGACACCAGATCTAGACACCTTATCCATTTTCTTCTTCACGAACGATACGACTTCTTGCGCAAGGCGGTGACCCATTTCTCGAAAATCTGCGGATGTTTTGTCTTCGTTCGCTTCGGACATAAGAAATTCTACCTTTGGATCTATCAAAAGCCATTGGTTACGGATGAGACGTAAGTCCAGATGATGGCCCTGCACTTATTTAATGATGTATGAAGTTACTTTTTTCAAAGAAAAACAATCCAACTACTTCCTATTTAATTCTCTTATAGGAATAAAGGAAGATACCTGGAATCCATGAACAAAGACTACGATCTTCAGGACATGACCATTGGGATGAGTGTTGACTTCAGACAACGCTTTTGTGGTGTCGGAACCCAATTCATCAAACAAACTGTTCGTGTCTTTCAGCTGGTCCAATTGGTTGAAGTAAGAATTCCCGCTGACTGAGCGTAAAGGCGCATTAACAACTTGTTCTACAAGTACAACGGGAATGCGTGAAGGATCTCCGAATATATGCATGTCTTGAATAAACCGGTTGTTCATCTGCACTGAACCAATGCTTGCTCAATCTCCAACGAGTAAAAGGAGACTTACGCACCACTCTTTTTTTTTAAAGACTTACCATCATTTGTGCAATACTTCGCCTATGAAGCCCTGCTCGCATAGCAGCAGTCTGTGCAGGCTGCACAGAAAAGAAAAAAAATATATAATCAAAAGAAGAAAAAAAAAAATAGTTATTGTAGGTAATAAAAGAAGTTATCACCCAATGGAGTAAAAGATGGCGGCACAATTACATCACCAGTTAACTTCCGCATAACGGGAGATCTACCGTGCAATCCTTGGTAAGAAGAACCGTCCACCAAACTGCTTATGTATTGGTGAGGCATCTCAACCTTTGTGTAAACCATCCAAATTGACCATTCGGATTTTCGATCTACCGCCCATTGGTTGCGGAGGAATTCAAGAATCTTCGTTATGTTAGCTCTGAAAGGCAGAGAGAATCAGTTTCTGACATTAAAAAGATACCCCTCGCAGAAAATTTTATTTCATATACTTGTTTATATGAAATTGGGAAAACCCAGAAAAACAAAACTGAGAACTGCATTTATCTTGCAACAAATAGAATCAGAAAGAAATATAACTGCTCAACATAGTATAATAGCAACACAAACCTGTGAAAATTCAAGAATATACTCCACAAGTAAAACATTTGATTGCCAATCAAATCGATTAACTTGAGTAGTTTATCCTCAGATAGCATATTGAGAAAAACATTGTTACGGAAATCAACTTCACCAATTGGATTCTGTTCAAGGAATAGAAAAACTGGTTATGAAGGTTCTAAAAGCGAACACAACGATAAAATACTTTAAGAGGGACAAAGGAGAATCACAATAGGGAATTTCTTAGCCTCAAGTCATCAAAGAACCTCAGAAACATTGGGGAGTTCGTTCGAAACTTCAGCATTGACAACTTCCGGATCTGATCTTAGGGCGGCACCAAAGAGCTCGTTTGAAGTAATCTCTTTGATATCAATCGGTTGGTTGATAGCCTGGCTGAGCTTTAGTAGCTCTTCCTTAAGAATGTCACTAGCACTTGATAATGCATGCACAAGCATAACCTGCTCGAAACATAGTACAAAGCTTAACAGACTCTTTCACTTATGATAATGTAATGGAGGAGCATGACATTGGTACAGAGTACAGACACTACAGAATATGTCGTATGTTGATGTGAAATACAAATGCATTGCCACGTGAAAATAGGTTAGTGATTGTTCTGTAATAAGAGGGTTGAAGACATACTTGCTTTGACTTGTCATGCTCACCACCAACATCGTTTCCATTAACTGTAGGATCACTGGAAAAAGGCGTTTACATGTGTTAATTCAGCATAATATTTTAATAACTATACAGGGCCGATCCAAAAACGGGACATGCCTTCTCTAATTTATAAAACATACATGCAAAGCAAAACATAGTGCAAAAGCAAGATTTAAACATATATATACTACAACTGTCGGAGACTCGGGGATTATTTATCTGGTACCCGATTCTTTCCGAGAAATCTATAAAGCCTTGAAAGTGCAAAAATGCAAAAAACTCATAATAAGTAACAAAGCAAACAAAAACATTATTTTTATTGCACGTGTTTATAGATATATAGAGACGTGGGTGCCTGACACAAATTCATTCATACAAACAAGCATTGGTAGTGAAAACCGTGATTTTGAAACTATTAGAAGCGAGATATATATCATATTTGAGAAAATCGATGTTGGAACAAACCTGGGTACCTTCTCTGAGAAACTGTAAGCCGCACTCTTTAGCAGGCTGACATGTACTGTTATATCAACTAACACTGAATGGTAAGAGTCAAAGTGAACCGGACAATAGGCATGCAACCCCAGCAGGGATTTAGGGGGAAGCCGAAATTCATGGACTGAAGCAGTGTTATTCAGAGAATCCTGAATATTAGACCTATAATAAAAATAAACTAAAAGTACTAAATCCCAAGCCTCAGTGGAATTCAAAAAAAAAAATAGAGTAGATGCCTAACATTTCACAAGAAAAAACACCACAAACATATATATTTTGTCAGCCAACCTGTTATCCAACACAGGAGTGTACAGCAGCTCGAACTTCAGAATGACAGCAGATGCGGATGGAACCTGGTTATGCAAACACCACCTTAGTAGTCATACTAAAGTACGTAGCACTATATATTTTAAACATCTATATATATATGTACTCAAACAATTTAAATCGATGCAAATATACAGCTTTTCATTTTTCACAAGTACAATTCGATCTATATCAGAGAGGGCACATATCTGAACATCCCAAAAGCCATGATGCTAAATCACCTCTACAACATGTATCTGCTACTGGTATCTTTTTCGATTTGCAATTTAACTTTAGTTTCAGCTGCTACCCAATGGTTAAACCACTTGTTTATCATGTTCTTTTTATTCTTCCCCCATAAAGTAAATAAGCATATTTGATACTCAATTGAGTGTCGAAATACGACATAGCATATCTGGCAAGCCCATGCCCAAAGAAAAGATGAAAATAATACCTCCAAGTTAATAGGTGATAAGTTAAATGAGACCATCATTGACAAAAGAATATCCTGCTTTGCGTATCTGATTCGAAAAGGTTGCGTTGAAAAGCTGTGGTCTCTGTCATCGATTCTCCAGATTCCATACACATCATCAGAACCCAAATCAGGAGCTGTTTGCATAAAGAAGACTACATCACATCACTCTCTGTGGCTCTTAAATTGGCCAGATATAAGTTGGCAACTTAGGAATTACTGTGAACAATTCTAAAATAGAAATGACATAAAACATAAGCCATCTACTCGGGGAGAAATCTAAACAGTATATAGCAGCGCATGATAACCTAACAGAGAAGAGATCAACCACCAAACACGCACTAGGGTACTTACCTGCATATTGAGCAACTCTTGCTGGAGTACCCACAGAACCACAATCTTCATTCTCCCATTTCATCGTAATCTTAATTTGATACCATCTAAATAAACACAAAAACTAAAACAACTAAAAAGGAGATGCAAGTGCTTGACCAACTTAGCCAAATAAATAGGGAAGAAGATAAATTTTAAAATGAAGTCAAAAAATATTACACTTACCCTTGCTTAAACAAGTCAAGGTTGTGAAACCGATGAATATAAATGCCAATTTCATGTACAGCTTCCAACATTGGCCGTTAAAACAAATGCTGCAAAGTTTAGGCGGGGCAAAGGCTTCGCATCGGGACTGTACGAAGTCCAAACTTAGAGTTCACTAATGCTGATTTATTAAACCGGAGACTGTGACTTAAGATGCTGAAGTAAAGCTGGTATTTATGATGACATTTTCGACTGGAAATTTGCATCCTCCAATTCTTTGGCCTTTGGGCTCTCGTGGAAAAGATATCGCTGCGTTTCAAAACAGATCAGCTCCAGGATTAATTCGGGAAATATGTGGTCTGTTTCCTAGTAGGAGTAGACCCTGTTCCGGAAAGAGCACTTTCACCAGAGAGCATCTACACAATGAGATAGCTTCATCACAATCATAATCATAGTTTTGAAAAATTAGACGAAACAAAACTAATATTCGTAGTAAACAATATCAAGTAGGTTATAGATTCTAAAACCAAATCTGTTCTTTACTTATCCAAAGTCTTACTGTTGATTCTCATTCAAAAAGCGACCACATTTCCCTCTCTCTTTTTTCTTTCTTGTGAAATTGCAACAAATGATTTGGTGATATATATCAAGAAACGAACTTAATACAGCTGCTGGCAGGATAAAAAAAGAAGAAGGGAAATCTCCCTTCAGTTCTACAACCACAGACTATCCTTTGAGAATCTTCAGGAATGGATTTTTTTTTTTAACATAGCCAGGTAGCATTTATCATTCAAGCTGAAAAGAGTTGGAATCAACAGTAACAAAGTCGAGCTCTCTAAGAGAAATACTTCAAGATGCTGAATGCAATAATAACTGAAATAGAATATGGAATCATAAAAAATAATAACTATTTCTCCTGATTATAACCATAATTTAGAGGCCTTGATATGTTACACTTACATATTCAGCTATAATTTCAAATATTTACACGTCGAAATAAATTCGCTGGATCGCTACTGTGAAAACGAACATATGTTATGGAGTGCAGTATATGTAATGATATTATAGAATGAAATATGATATCTGATACAAGACTGATAAATCAGGGCTTCTAACCTTTCTTAATGTCACATTAATCAAATAATTTTGGAATTTAGTATCTGATTCTTTATATTTACATCCCATTAGTTGCATTGGATGTATGAGAATTGAGAAATCATCATTTAAATTATATTTGGTCATATTCTTAGGATGTAACAACAAAATTAATTTTGAACCAGTGCCACGTCAAACGTCTACGCGTTGGTTCATTTGTGACAAAAACAGGTATATTAATTTTGAAAATGACTGCTGTATATGAATTGAAACCGGAAACCCAAGCTCTGGATATTTTAAATTAACCACTAAGAAAATAAAAATCCCAATTTTAATTCTTGACATTCATAATAATGCCTCTTAAGAAAACCCAAAGAAGATGAAATAAAATTACAAAATGGAATTTAATAAACCTCAAAAAACATATCGAATTCGCAGAAAAAAAAAAAAGCATGTATATCATATGATTAAACACCATAACGAGTAATTCCGCGTATATTACTCGAATTCGAACAAAGTAAAACAATGCAGCACAATCTGAACAAGGAATCGCTCTCCATTGCGATAAAGTATAACCCTAAATTGATTGTATTTATATTCAGCGATCGTAGCTATAGGGATTTTCATGATCAGTTAAAAAATTAAAACCTGGAAACGTTGGTTTATTCCACCACATTGTGAGCGGCGAATCAGTAGCGCATGCCGTAATCGTCACCGTTGACGGGCGGAGATGGTCTGATATTGGCGGCGCGTGGAGGAGGAAACGCCGGTTAGCGGAGAGAGAGAGAGAGAGAGAGAGAGAGAGAGGGAAATGACTCGGTTTAAGAATTAAAATCGTTTATGACATTTGGATGTAATTTCTAACATTTGAATTGTCTCGAAGACTTAATTCCATTAGCAATAATTACAAACAAAAGTCGGATGTAACGGATCGAAACGGCCTTGATTTCATTTTTTATTGCTAGTACAAAACTACTTCCAATTTCAATTTCAAAATTTTGAAACTCAGAAATCAATTATTGTTCCAAAAAATTGGAAATCACATAAGTTTTGATTCTGCAATATGGCCCATAAATTAAATATAGGCAAATGACGGCCAATTTCTTGAGGTATGACCAAATTACGAGAAAAAAAAACCCTTTTATTTGGGTAATTATAGTCACTTCTCTTTTTAAATATTTTTACATAAAAATTTATGTAATTCGGTTTTTTATCGAACCAGATCGTATATTTAGTTCGGTAAACGGTATGAAATGTTGACGTACCGAAATTTCGATTCAGTTTTACCGAGGTATTATCTCTAAATTTACCTCTGTAGGGATCTTTTCGTAAGATAATACATAGTTAAGGAGGGGGTTTCGTAATTTGACCATAACTCAGGGGTGTCCGTAATTTGGCCATTTTATATATAAAAGCATTTAATTAGTTTTGAAATATGTAAAATAATTACTCTTTTTAAAGTTGTTATTTTGAAAAAAAAAAAAAAAGATATTATATAAAATTTCAAGAATTACTCTAGAAATTAAAATCGGATCGAAAATCGAAAGTTTCAATTCTTTTGTAAATACTTCCAATTCCGATAAGGAAGAGTTGGAAAATCAAGAATCCAACGAAAAATTTATTCCTAAGTTAGAACTTTTGGGATCGAACCCAATGGAAATTGAAGTTCTCATTCCATAATAATAATAATAATAATAATAATAATAATAATAATAATAATAATAATAATAATAATAATAACATTTTTTTGTAAAAAAATATTATTTGATAAAAATATCCTCATTTTTTTATTAAATGAAAGTTCATGTCAAAAATGTGGGATGAGTCTTAGGAACAACGCAAGGCGCAATTTATGAATAGTGAAGACAAGCCAAATAAAATCAACTCATAATCTTTTTCAAAAGCTATCGCAAAAACCACTTTGAAAATAAAATTTTTGTCTATCATAAAATTTTCAAAAGCTATCGCAAAAACCACTTTAGAAATAAAATTTTTGTTTATCATAAAAAAAAAATAGAGTTTTTGTTAATTTTTTTCCTATAATTATATATTAAAAAAATAAATAAAAAATCATTAAACAAAGTTATATCCTAATTTTGTATGCTATGTATTGTTATTCACTTTTTATATATTATATAAATATCCAAAAAAAAGTAGTGAAATATTAATCCTGCCATAAATACACTATTATCCCTTTTGCCCTTTTCCCTCCAAAAAGCCATCCTACATGCATCAAGCCACGTATTTATATACTATTATAAACCGCCACGTCACCTCTGGTGGGGTCCACTTTAATGGCGCGCGCCCATAGAACCCCAAACTCGACCCGACCCAATACCCAGCGCCCGGGTCTTCCCGTAATTAAACCCTTTCTCCAAGGGGCAATTCCGTACTTTCAAGTAGCAGAAGATTCAGTTCATAACAGACAGCTCTGCCGAGGAAACAAGAGTTTAATGTAAAACTCCTCAAAACCTCAAAAAAGCAAACAAAACAAAAACACACACACAGCTCTCTCTCTCTAGAATTGCTTTTGACGCATCGGAGAAAAAATGGACGACGAAGAGGTAAATTCCTCCGCCGCCCTAAGATCGCCGCACCCACGGCGGCGCAGCCCATTTTTTTTTAACACAGCACACCAACTACCTTGTTGAATTAATCAAACCGCTTCTTTATCCCTTTTTGTTTTTTCTATTTTATTTCATCCTGCATTTGTTTTTGTTTTTTTGTTTTTTGTTCGTAATCGGAACTAGTTCGACTTGAATAAGTTTGTGCTTGATTTTGCCTTGTCTGAAAATAATTCAAAAAACTCTAATCTAAATTCTCGAAAAAAAAATGGGGGTAAAAATTTAATCTTGAAATCATTCTACCATCATCGTCTGTGATTTATTTTATTTGTTTTTGCGATGTGTATGGAAAAAGAAAAACAAGAATTTAATTTTGGGGGAATTCTTTGATGTGCAGAAAATGTTGGGTTTGAAGAAGGCGTATGCCGATGTGTTGTTCAACATATCGAAGGAGGCTGCCGCTAGGGTTATGTCGTCGGAGAAGAAGGCGGCGCAGTACCAGAACGAGCTTAAGACGTCGAAAGACGAGGCTTTGCGAATGCTGATGCGCCTCAAGCAAATGATGGATTCGAAGGTTTGAACTAACTCGACTTTTTTAATTTTTCATTAATATGTTTCTGTTTTTCTTGATTTTGTTTCTTCGATTTGTTTGGTTCAAAAGTTTGAAACTTTACACCATGTTGAGATATCTTATGTGGGTAGGGTTTGCGATTATTTTGTGTAGCTTAGTTAGGTTTTTGTTTCGATTCTGTGTATGTTTAATGTGGTGTTCCTTTTATCTGCTGTTGTTATTCGACGAGTCTTTAGAACTCGATTTTTCGTTTCCTTCAAAGATTGTCCGAAAATGGCGGAATTGTTGATCGAAATATTACACTTCCTTTTCCGGACAATAGTTTTTAGTTCGTTTGCTTCCTTGATAAGGTTAATGATTATCTTGTAATGAGGATCATGATTTGTGTTGTTCCACGTGTGTTCGTTTCTTTTGTTTATTTATTGTCGTTGGCTGAACTAAAGTGATCCATCTCGCACGTATATCAAATAGTTTGATACGAAATTAATGTCCAAATGGGATTACATTCTAAAGTTGCCGCGTGTTTTTCATATTTTTTTCTTTCTGTTTTTACTTTTGGCGGTTACCCAAAAATACCGACACGTTTCTCACGAGATTATGCCGATTCTCGTGTGGCTATACTGTAATAGTACCGCCACGTGTTCCTCCCATGAATCGTATTTGCTGCCACATTGAAACAAAAATCACTGCATTTGTTGTTTTGCAATTATTTATCTACGTTGTCCGATCTCGAGTTTCTTGTAACTTACGCAAACTTATTGTCCAGAATTTAATTTTAACTTGGCAAACTTTACAGACTAGTGAAGCGGAAGCTGCATCGCTGAGTCAGCAGAGCAAGATCGACGAACTCGAAGCTCAACTTCAAGAAGCTGAAGATATCGTAAAAGATCTGAGAGAAGAGCTGGAAGAAGCCCATTCTCAACTCGAGAGGGCTAAAAGGGGAAATTCGCATCATCATGCAAACGAGCCCAAAAATCTCTCGTTAAGAGAACCCGGTGCTAGAATATATGAAGCTGCGATAGCTTCATATATATCGAACCCCGATTTGCTTCCTTCAATCATATCGAGACCCAAAGATCCAGGACTGTACAGAAACGGTTGCACGCAGAGGATCCGTGCGTGTGAGAGAAATTCTGTGGAAACCGATAAAGGAATGGACAAAGATAATAATAGTAATAAAAATAACAAACGAGAGAGCGAAGAAGATGAAGAAAAAGTGCCGTCGACCAAGACTAAAACTCTGAGTGAACTCGAGGAGAAGCTAATGGCGGATAGTAACTGCCGATCGTTTCTTCAGAAAAAGAAGAGAGCGAATAGGCTAAGAAAAGTCGTGAAAATATCGAGTGTGAACGTAGATGTTTCTGTTTCAGACAAGGATGGTGGTGGTGGGGCCGGTCAATCTAGGACAGCTCGCACGATGTCCGAAGATTCTTTAGGAGACGAAAGAAAAGCCGTCAAAGCTTTTGGTGGTGGTGGTAGTACTGTACTGCAGAAAGACGAAGGTTTGAAGAGAAAAACGGTGGATGTTGAGAAAGTTGACGTGTCGGGGGCGAATTCGTCTTATACAACTGTAGGTGAAAGAGTCATCAAGTACACGTTTCAAAGGAAGCGTAAGAGAGAGGCTTTGAGTGGAGGTGAAGTGAAAACCTCTGTTGAGGCAGAAAAGGAAACGGAAGTGAAGAAAACGGGCGATCAGAAAATGGGCGATCAGGAAACGAGCGATCAGAAAACGGAGCAGTCGAAATCGAGCTTATTGTCGATGGAGTCTTCACGAGAGAGTAGGCGATTGGCGCAAGTTGCGCGTCAGGTTAGTGTTTGAATGAAAAAATCGTAAAAACTTTCATTTGATGATGCATGGATTATATTTGTGTGTCTAATAACAGAATATATGTAATTTGTGTTGCATCTTCGTTTTTTGAGTGAGAAAACACGGTAGTGTATTGTGTATAAGCACTCACCACTCATGTGCATTTATTTAATTCATCGAGCGCCATACATCTTCTACATAAACATGTCTGATGCAGTATTTTTTTCGAACGATAAATCTCGTTGACTTGGTATTGCTTGTTTTTCGATTTTGGCAGCTTATATCTTTGTCCGAGAAGAAGTGGTGGCATTGAAGGTGGCTTTTTTTCCGTATTATGAATACTTACAAAGATGAAAAGCCGAACTCGAGACGAAAATGTGCATGGAGATCTGACTTAGCAAAAGGTAACTGAAGAAGAGATACAGACAGA